ATCTGAAGTTGCATTACATTAGGATTAGGACAAACAATTTTATTGGGTGCATAAACTTAATAACTTGGGGTACAATATTATTGGATGCATAAACTTAATAACTTGGGGTACAATATTATTGTATGCATAAACTTAATAACTTGGGGTATCTCTTGCTTATCGACAAACGATTCCCAGAAGCCTTTCCATTCCAGAGGATGTTTTGTAAAAGACGACAAGTAGATGCTTAGTGATTATTATTTGCTTGTAAATACGGCCGTGTTATACAATATAATTAAGACAATCAATGTGAATATGGAATGAAGACAAAAAGGAAATTATGATGCACAAATCAAATGAGTAGTGAAGAAGGGTAGAATGAATGAATTAAGATAAATTTGCAACCCAAATCGTTTTCATATAATATATGTTTTAATAATTAACAGTTTGAGGTAAACCAACGTACTGATGTAAGGTATAATTATAATTTGATATAAGACTTTCTTTTGTCGTTATAACTCGGCTGCCGGTTGAATTTGCAGATGCCGTTGTTATCCAAGTGGCGGTAGTTGTAGTTTTGAGTGCACTCTGTCAGATTAATAATTGTTGAGTTGGGGGGATTGGGAAGTTTGGGTTAGGATTAATGCATGAGTCAGACGACTCTGGCGTTGGTCGATTTCAACTTATCGACTTGGTAACGATACTTTGACGATTTACTGTTTGCTAACAGTGTAATGACTTGCGAGATTTCCAAAAATCGTTTATTTCCAAATTACCTCAAAGTCGGGCAATTAAACCTTCTATAATAACACGAATCACGAACAAGATCATAAATGCACACAACAATTAATAATGACATGAACCACGAACAAGATCATCAATCAATACAAAACAAACGGTGAAGAAGTTATCTCAAATAAGTCATGCGGCTGTATGATTTCATTCCAGCTCCACGAAATGAAACTTAAAAACTGTAACGTTTTGCTTTTCTACTGATTTATTCCGTCCATTCATCTCACTTTTTCGCATTTACTTTTAATCAAGCCTTAGAAATCACTCTAATCTTATCCTACTATCCCTTTGAATATTTCCTCATTGATGCTCTCCTGGATAGGTCGTCATATGAAATCTAATGGCTCATCGCGTAAGTAATCTGCTGTCAATCAAACTATTTATATTATTTTAATCCATTCTAGTATTCGATATATAAATGTTCAAAATTTCTTCACGAATCTACAGTCGTGACAATTGGTGACAAGAAATTTTACAAATATTGACCGAAAGGATCAAACAAATTGGTTTGCTGAGAAGGGTTTATAGGAAAAACTTATTTAAATCATTTTTTTACTCCCCGAACAACATCGAGCAATTCTATTTGAGGACTTTTAAAGCTTGCATAACTTTAAGAAAGTTTTAAGAATAGGGATCTGCAGGTAGCATACAATACGTCTGTGGGTTAAGCAGCTTACTGGTGGGGAGAGAAAGGAAAAAAGTTAGTGTCATGAGTTATTCAAATTATAATTAATCTGTCTAAGCGTGCATGCAATTGACATGTATGAATAACTTATCAATGAAAATGATATGACACAAACACTTCATACTAATGAACATTAAATGACAGAGGCATAGGCGAGAAACGCCAGATCGTGATCATTTCTCGTGATCACCTACCATCACCTTGATCGTTTCTTATCTTGTCTCACTTGCCCTTACCTCGATCTNATCTAATCTCGCTCCGTTTAAAAATTGTGTTTCTGTCCCTCGAATCGTCATTCTCGCCATAAAATCAGTGAAATTTAATGAAAGATCCAGCCGCAGCTCAACAATTCTTAAATACCATTCGATGAAACTCAGTTTCTTTTTATATTTCCAACGGACAACATAAGTTCAAGGTTAAGTCTAGATGGATCAACCAGACCTCAGAAGATAGTTCGAAATGATTGAAAAAGGAAGTTATAGCAGGAAAAGTTGGACAGCTTTTGTATTATGTCTGTTTATAGGTAACTGAAAAAAAAGAACCCTATGATTAATCGCAAAACAAACCAACATTCAGCATTACACACAGAACAGTATCATAAATTATAAACTTTTTGGAAACCATGGAATACATACGTGGACTAAAAAAACAAACGATGTTATCGGAATTTAAGGAAAGAAATGAAATAAAGAATTCCGTAGCAGAATTAACTCGTAGTTCAACGTTGAAGTTGAAATGCATCTACTGGATCTATTTAGGGGTAAATTTGAAAAAAGAAAAACAACGCTATAATTGCTGCAAGGGACAGAATCGCCTGAAAAATCCAATTGTTTCTCGTCGAATTCATGTGAACGTTCCTAGTCCATCTCGCTACCTTGTAATCGATCATCTCTTATTTCTCGTCCCCTTTAATAAATGAGAACTTTAGCATGCATACCCCCTTCCATTTCTTTGTCGTCCCATCCCGTTGAATTAAGCACGGGAGGATATACCGATAACAGTGTTCTTTTTATTCATAAAAATCTCAAATGCAAATGAAAGCTCTGATGTTATGCGACTTCCCTTCGCCATTATTTCTACATCTGAACTTCCGAATGTCCACTCATTGATGATGTGGCTTCTGTAAAACTTAATGCAGCCGTATTGGAGATCCAATTAATTCGTCGTGGAATTCCATAAAATCGGTACGTTAACTACTACGCGTATCGTGATATTCCCTGCACCTATTACTTTACCGTTTTCCAAAATGTCATCGCATATGAAGACCTTGAACACATAGAAAAACTTTTCACAATTCAACAATCCTTTATTCAGCGCTCGAGTATGAAAAAAAACGAGCGAACAATTAAGGAACAAAATTTGAAAATACAAAGTAAAAGAATAGCTGAATTGAGAAAAAAAGAGGAACCATTCAACAACAAATCAATAGAACAACATCGATTATAAGTGAAATAAAGTATCAAGAAGATATCTTACATAAAATCTTATGGTATAAAGTGGAAAAAATTACTAAAACAGCACACAAATTACAGTTTTTTCATAAAGTTTCGCGCATCCTAATAACCATGGTGATAGAAAACTAATCAAAAATCAAAAGCGACATGCAGTAATCATCCTAGAATCATACGAGAATTACACGAACGATAAAAGACAACATATAAAATTTATATAAATATCCAAAATCATAAAGCGCAGAAATACATCTCGAGAACTACATAAGCTGTCTTTTACTTCAGCAAAAACAGTATAAGCACTTCCCGGGATTCAAAAGAACAATTTCAACGAATTTTACCGAAATTGTTGCAAAAACGTTTAAATCGTTTACAAATGCAGGTAGTGTATGACGGTAGAAAAAAAGAAGCAAAAACATATGTAGAAGGAGCGGAGTAGGAAACGACATTGCATAAGTTCAGTTTTTTAATCAAAAAAGGGAACGGTAGACAGATAATCAACAAGTATAGCAGAAAAGTACTACTCATATATCAACGTACTAATTAGAATGCACCTGGCTTAGGTGTACCGTAAAATCTGAAGGATTTAGCTCGAGCTTCTCACCAGCGAGACGCACGTTGAACAGAGTTTAGGTAAAAATCATTGAAATCTAGATAACAATCATAAACAAGTTCCTCGAACGGATTTCTAGACGACAGGATTTTCGAGCAACTACGACAACTTCTCTGCATATTAGCACATAATAGCAGTGTGAAAAGTGAGAATTCAAAAAGAAACAAAAAATATATATGATATTAAAACGAAGAGTTAGAAAAAAAGAGCAAAATGAAGAAGAGAATAACAAGCCGCTAAAACATGAATACTGGATGAATTTCATCAAATTAATTAACAATCCACACATGAACGATTACGAATGAACAAGGAATTCTCGAAAAAGGAAATCAAATGAGGAAAGATCAACAGAAATATCGATAAAATTATCAAGATCATCAATCACAGATTAAGACCAAACTAATAGTAAGGTTAATTAAAAACTAACAAGACCAAATTATTGAAAATTTGACCATGAAATCAGAAGTTGAATACCATGAACTTATGAGAACTTTCAAAAAAGACTTCAGCGCAACAAAAGACATCAATAATAATGGATTTGGCACGAACCCTCAATGAAAAGAAAACGGTTTTCATTGTTCCATTTCCAAGTGAACGAAAAATGATACAAACAAATATTTGTGAATATTTCGTTGGAGGATAAATCAACTGATAAAAAGAGACCGAAAAGAAAAGCAATTTGAATAGACTGATTGATCTCAACACATAATATCCGAGAAGAATCTCCAACTATTATAAATAACTGTTAAATTAATTACGACAAAAAACGGAAACAACAATGCTGAGATCAAAATATTACATGGGCATGCAGAAGTACTATATTACATTCGCAAGAAGGAAAGCTTTCAAATTTCTTTAACAAAATTTTCACGTTGAAATGGCATGGGATAATCTTAGCACGATGTGGACACAATTAAATAGTCCACCTCCGTGATGCTTGAAGCAAAACCTTAGAAACTTTTATATCATTAATGTCACAACTTTAAAAAATACGAGCAGAAACTATGCACTCAAGCAAATGAGAGGAGAAACTGAATTTCTGAGAGGTGGTAACGAACGAAAAATATTATTCAAGGACCGAGCAGCCATAACGTCAACATGAACAAGTTTCAAACGTCCAACATTAAGCTGTAAATACGAAAATATTCAGACGAAAATGTACTTGAAATTCGAAAAAACCATCTGAGATAATATTCAGTAGTTTAAAAAAAATGAAAAGAAAGAAAACACACACTACATCTCAACCATAGAAGCCCTTCAACATAGCACTTATCATCGCCTAAAAAAGATGAAAGATTCATGTTTCATCCAATTAAGTGCATAAAATTTCTCAATTTTCCAATCGTTCTGTTTCTTCCACAACACCATTTTCCATAGTTTTCATTTCAGTTTCTTTTGCTGAATGATCTGCAACTACTGAGAGATCGTTCCAGCGTGACCTGAAATTTGGAAAGAAACTGATTTCTCATCCAAGCATATATCAGACCAAATACGGTTGGAAGGAACGAAAGGACAAAAATGGAGCAGATTTCAAATTTATCTGATTGTAAGTTATGCGAACTTCAAAATTTTTGCAATAAAGATGGAATTTCGCGAAAGAACAAAAATTTAAATAAACTGACCAGATAAGCCACAGAGGTATGATAAGGAATGACGCGAGGATGATGAATGAGAATTGTGGTAGAACTGGAATTGAGACAGGGAATAGGAGATGGAATACTACCGCTGCCAGTAGATTACAGACAGCCTCGACGACTGCGACCAGTGCGAATAAAGATCCTAAAGTAATACTAAATCAACCCCACAAGTCAACCAGAACACTTCATTGAACTGAAACTATACACCTAAACGTTGATTTGAAAAACAGGTTTAAATTTTGAAAAGTTCCTAGAACTGTCCATTCCCTATTGATAATTTTTCAAAAAAANAAAAAAACTCCTTGCAGATTTATTTGCTACCGATATCGTCGTTAAATATGTAAATGTCGACTCACCATGATCTTCAGGCATCACAGAATTTGCCATCATAGCACGTAGACCAGTGGCCGAAAAACGAGACAGCGAATCAATGGGAATCACTAAAAGTAACGACTAGGAATGAAATTGATATTATTGCATAATGAAGAGCCACATTCAACGAATCAGGATGACACGTGGATGGTGCTGATCATTACTGGCTCATTGATAAAAATTATATCAACATGATATCTATCCAAAATAAAATAAGCACAGGTAAAGTAAATACCAGTGAAATCAAAATCATCAAGCATTAAACAAAAACTGAATCGAAACCAAATATAAGTCAAAATCTCACATAAGAACACAGAATGAGTATTCCAGGCAACTGCAATCCATAAACGACCCATCAATCTTGAGATAATGCCAGCTATTACTAATGAACAATCGGCTATTCGACGTGAACGCAGCCACGGATATAGGAAAAGTGTCTGGAGTGCAAATCATTTCACCTCTGATCAATGTTCTTCTTACGGATGTTACAAAACGTCAAATACTACGAACGCCTCTTCATCTCTTAAAAATTCCGAAACCGAATTGACGCTTATCGAAAGAATGTTTCCCAAACTGTTTAATGTGATCTAATTTTCACTTGAATATTGTAAGTGAAGAACAAAATATAAAAATTCCAAAAATTTCGAAACGTACCGCAACGGTGGATACAGCCTGAAGTGGTCCTTTCAAAAGTCCGTATAAAGTGGCATCCCAATTGAAACGGTACTTGAGGTAATAGAAGAGTATATGTATTGAACCTTGAAAGAAATAATGAAGACATTAAATCGGCAGGTACTTTGAGGCAGTATCATCAAAATTACACTCCCCATATATCAGAGTCTGAAGAAATAAGAATAGCAGAATCTTTTAGATGGCATCGAAAGAAGATCTAAATCGCAACGGAATAATGTGAGAGCAATTCACGAAAACTTCACCGACAAACCACAAACGTCAATGCACTCACCGATGAACGCAAGAAACGATACTGCAAATGAGAAGACCAATACCGGCAGATGTGATTTTTGTCGTGATCTTCTCAGCGAATTCTGAAAGGTTTGTGATTATAAATAATGGAAGCGTGAGGATTTATGATTATCAATCGCAAAACCATTCACGAAAACAGGATTCAACCGAATTTTTATTCAATTTCTATATTTCACTACATTTTTAAAGAAGACTGCAATGACACAAGAGATTTCAGATAAACTTACAAATGTTTTACACCCACAGAATGTCCGTTCGGGACGCGGCAAACCATCTTCTGTTTGATGTTTGATGTCGGGCAACAGGAAGAAACAAAGAATACAGAAGCAATGCAAAAACGAGAATGCTGTAAAAACGGTCGTAAAGCCAACCACTTTCAATAATGGTGTACATAGAAATCCAATCGTGCCTGCAATGCGCTCACATCAAAATTGCCATAAATCCTCCTTTTTCAAATGAAACACAAAATTCTCCTATACACAATGAAACAACCGAATACTCATTAACACTCCACAAAATCAACTGGATTAATGACAAAATTGGATTAATACAGTCTCTTGCACTTATGGAATTCTAATCAGATTAATACAGCTATCCCAAAGAGTCTTCTTCTGAATCTATTTCGGGCAGAAATTTCACTAATTCAATTCGCGCATAACAATATACGATTTCTGAATTCAAAAAAAGTAACGCACAATGCTTCGTCCACGAAAGTAAAATTCTTGGACTGAACAAAACCGATAAGCATACATTCATTTCGAACCAACTTAATGGCTAATTACTCTCACTCATCAAATCAGCACTAACATACCTCCAAGACCGAGAAATCCTTCAAGAATGGCGATTGTTTTCGAACGTGACCTTGATGGTGAATTCGAAACAGCATCAGACGCATACGCAAAACAACAAGAGATGATCGACATGTAACCACCGCATAGCGCAAACATGCCCTCGCTTAATATCAGCCAATAGGCTGAAAGCTGAACCAATTTTCATTGATTATTATTCTTACTGCTATGGCTCTACAACTTTCATATAAATGAAGCATCATCAAAGTCAGCATTACTATTGCTACTATCATAATCTCCGGTTCAAAAACGCTTTCTATTAACACCACTAATCGCTCAAAAAAAACAACAAAATGTTGTTCGTCACTAGACCAAGATCGAAAGGTCCCTAAAATTGGATATTCTCTCATGATAAAGTCTGCCTGAAATGAAGAGAGGACGAAATTCGCAGTGTGAAAAAAACCGAACATAAGAAAAGTACGACTGCAAAATGAGTGTGCAGTCTGCTAAAATCAATCCGGCGAACGGCACCAACAATGCCATCTTTCGTGATTTTGCGTCACCCAAACGTCCCAAAAGCGCCGATGAAACACCGCCAATTACACACATCACAACACTACTAAAACTTTCAACAATGCACTTCCATTAATATGTAATTATATAATGGATGTGGCCAGTAATTACTAAATGAACATACTCAATAAGTACATGTGAATATAATCAACAATTCAGCCAGCAACTATAACGCAGTGCATCATTTTATAAATACACTCAATAATTAACTGATAAGAACGTTCATTACATAAGTGTTCAGATATCTAAACCAAACGAAACATTTATCCCCCCTAGGTGTAACTAATTCTCTTAATTTGTAAATCCTAAACGTACCGACCGCATCTGCAGTCAAAGTTTATTTTCATCAGAATAATCAGTACATGGAATTTGAATCAATAACGCACTTCACGACTCAAAAACCATGGGTACCCTAATAGACATCCTGGATGAAATCACAGCTAAATGATTACTAGACACGAAATTTCAGTAAAAGTTGACCAAAGAAGGAGTATTTTGTTGGCTTCAAGTTGAAGGCTTTGATTCGTCGATGCAGTCTGATAATCTGAACAATTAACTATGATTCCAAGCGTGCTTTCGCTTTGTTCGCACACCTGCAACAATTAAGGGAACGTTTATATAAGAAAACTACATATGAAATCTTTACAAATTCTTCACAAAAAGCAATTTGAAATAGAGAAGTTTCCATAGGTATCAGTTCATTGGAAGAACTCCTCCAAAATATGGAATACGTATGAGTGAAATTTCGACTTAAAAGGAACCTTTTGATAGATAAGTGATTGAAATACGGGCAAGAACATCGAAGCGGTAACTGAATAGACGCATAAGGGTATAGCAACTCGATGACTTCGATGAAGAACGGGTTTCCTCTCGCTTTGTTCGGCTTCCAATTTCATCGCTGGTCCTATTGAAGCAACTTCGATCGCTTGATTGCTCGCTGGTTCCGTCATCATTGAATTTTGCCGATTATGATTCAGATTCGGGAGAAAACTATTCGTTCGCACATGTAATTGCCTGACAATCACACACGCTCAACATCATAGAAATGATTATAACAGAACAAGAACCACAAAAAGGTATGAACGCAAGAATGTTTGATTTACAGCCTATCCCAAGACATTCAGCGACAGTCACTCCATTATCGGATGGAAGCAGAGAGATTTACAACGTCAACCCAGCCGTGCAACCTAGTGCAATGTGATTCTAGCAAAAATTAGTTCGATAGTCAACCTTTCAACACCTCAAACCGAATTACCAGAACTCTAACAACGGTTACCAACAAACTAGGCTGTTTTCCGAGAAGGATAATGCCGAACTAATTGTTCACTGGAACTACACCTCCGCAGCTATATTAAGTAACAACAACGAAGATAGATTTTTCGCTGAATGCAGCCTACGAAGTGACTTCCTCTTTTCACTCGTCGAGTGGCTAATGAGAAAATAAGCGGATAATCAACCTCATAGCGCAAACAAATCTCTAAGACTGAGCATAAAGATAAATAAATAAGGAAAGTGAACTGAAGATAAACAATAGAAGTACAAAGCATTCGTGAACGCCTTTCAGTGAGTATAACTCGCTTGCTTGGCATTCCATTCGAAGCATTCATTATAGTTCGACTTCCGTTATAAAACCGTATAAGGTCGCAGTCAATGGCGAGGCGAGCAATTAATAAGCGAGCAATAACATAATAATGCGTTATTGCGGAGTTTACTTTATTATAATATGTGGCTTAAGTGCGTTTTGCTGAAGAATTTTTTGAAACGATCAAACAAGATTTTTGCAAGTTCGGTGATCGGACAGGACAGCCCAGTAGAGAAGCAGCATGAGGCGCCCCGATGATTTGTTCTGATCGAAGAATTGTTTTCATCAGTGGATTGGGTACAAAACTTATCTTATCGAACTGTCAGCGTGAGGAAAAATGCAATCCTTCATTAACGAGAAGAAACGCATGCAGCAGTAGTTATCTCACTCAAACAATATCAATCAGAAGACAGAGTTTAAGCGGGAACAGTGATGAAAGTTTGCTTGAATATTAAGAGCTGAACAGGAGGATTTACTAGTTGGTCAAATGCTGGATTCTGAGTAGCCTGGTCATCGATAGGACCATTAACGATCCGATCAATCAGAGGTTACTTTGTTGAACGAAGACGAATCCAGCGAGCAACATTTCATCATTCCATTGAGAAAATATCCCATGTGGACAACAAATGAAACGAAGATGAGCGGTTGTAAATGAAAAAAAAGATGGGAAGTGATTCGATCTTGGTGAATGCCAGCAACTATCACACAGAAATTTCTCGTTTATCATCATCAGATGGTTGAGAGTGGATTCATCACCTTACGATTATCGGATATCTTACGATTGCTCACTGAGTACAATTCTCATTGTGCACCAATACTGTACAATGAGTACTAAGAATTCTTTCCAAATAAATGCTTAACAAAACACAATGTAAAGCGTAATAATTGTTCGTTTATTGAAATTAAATTTTAACTGAAATAAAACTTCAATACAAGTCGTCATAATTGAGGTATTCAACAAATGAAAATTAAAAAGCATGAAGCTATAGAATTCAATGAGAATTCTTTTCAATGAGTACGACAGAATTTAAAGACACAAAATACTATACAGTCTTACCACTAAAGCGTGGAGAGTTTGATATGGTGACATTCAGCGAAATTATTATTCACAATTACAAAGCGATCGTTACAAAATTCTAGACGTTTCAAGTAAATAAAAGTCAGAAATCATCACCTGAGTCGTCTTTATTATTCATACTATTCATTGTTAAAGTATTTTCCAGTTATCAAATTACATTTAATCGTTTTATACAACAACTCAATACAACTAAACAATTGTATAATTGGAACATGGAAGTTTAAATGAAAAAGCGGTTTTAGTGAACGGAACGATGTTAGTGTTCAATTTCCATTTAAACAGCGATAGGAAAAAATATGGCGAACATCCCGATCACCGTGCCATGAGCTGTGATCGGATGGCGAATCGTTTGGAACGAACTCCTGAATTTCCGTTCAAATTTCCCTAAAACAGTGATCGTTTTAGACGAATTGAACATGGAAAAGAGATGAAGGTTGAATTCAACTTTACAATAGTGCGTTGCTGATTACTAACAACCAAATCTTATAACTGCTATGTCATTAACAGAATGTGCACATTTTCCTGTGCAAATTTGCTGAATTTCAATCAATTCCGTCATAGTCCCGACTCACATTGAATGCATTATACACGAAGTTTAATTCGTTCGATTATGAAAGAACATGCCTCACAATGATTTGTTCAATTTGGTTTGTCCAATTCATGCTCACCTGGTTTGTCTGACCGTTAAAATTTGAATTTGATGACGGTGGCGCATTTGAATACGTTCCTTGCGGTGAGAAATTCGAGTTCATTGGAACACCACCACCTTGCGGATTGTTAACATTCATACCAAGGTTGGAATTAGCCGCAACCGGATGAACTGACATACCACCATTTGGTGATTGTCCATTGGGTGAAAAACCATTCGGCTGAATTCCAACCATCTGAAATTTTTGGACATCAATTGACGATTCAAATGCAGCAGCTTATTTGATGGTTTTTTGCTCACTTCTTGGATCAATTAACAGAAAATGAGGTGTATGAAATCATTATTGTATCTGCGTTTGACAATTTTGATAAGTTTCATATGGTGTTAACAGGGACAATTGAAATCATTCACTTGCTGCTAGTTTAACTTCAATAATGAAAAGTTGGACAATTTCAGGGAATTGAATGAATTGTTTGCACCACATTGATCTGCTTCAAACAAAACTCAAAATAAAAGATTTTAAAACCTACTTGAGCACCAGCATTGTTCCGCGGATATTCATTGTAATTCATGCCACCGAACGAGTTTTGTGGCTGCTGCTGTTGCTGAATATAGAAAGCACCGTTTTGCTGCTGATACGGACTTTGGGAAGGTTGATTCTGCTGTGAGGACATGAATGATGAACCACCAACTCCTTGTTGGTTTTGTGGTCGCTGGGGGAAACTCATTTGTCCGTTCATATTCATTTGTGCGTTATAAGGAGATTGCTGTTGTTGTTGTTGTTGCTGCTGCATAGTTCCATACGGTATCGGGCCATTTTGACCACCGTTTTGAGATGATCCTTGGACCATACCATTGTTGTTGGTTCCGAAAAGCGATTGTGTAGCGCCAACAACGGCACTTTGCACGTTAGAAGCTAATTGTCCAGCTTGATTCAGTGTTTGGCCTAAGAAATTACTTGTGGCATTCGAAAGCTGCTCTGAAAATATCAAAAAGTTGGAGCTTTACTAATGGAGCTGCAGATTTTTTCAATTAAATTTTTTTGCGAATACAAAGCTGCGCAGCTGCTTTTGATGACACGATAACTTCATTTGATCATGTTTTTCGTGTTCTCAGACGATAGAAGCCGTGATACAAGTACGTTTAAACAGCCCATCGGAGCTCCTGGTAAAAACTCCGAGAATATAGGGCAATCACTAAAAACATTCAATGCTCTTTCTTCAGTAATGCATGTTCAGAGAGTCCTCGTGACTCGTTGCATTCGCATTCATTTCTCCTTCATCTTTTCGTTACTTTGTCCTTTTTTTTGCTACAGAACCTGTTTTAACAAATGGTTATATGCAGACTATTGGTTGCATTTCAATCATTGTAATCCTCAAAAATTTGAGCAATGCCGTTCATATGGCTGTACTGGATGAAGCAATCCGCAAATGTGCTGGTAAATTCGACTTAGAGAAGATTACTGATCAAGACTGATTGAGAAACTCACGTGGTACTTGTTGCAGTGATATCCACTTAGATTCGAACTGTTGGCTATTCGATGGATTTGGTTGCATGAAATTATTGCCATTTTGTTGCTGCTGTGGTTGAAGGACAATCTGACCATTGTTGTTGTTATTATTATAGTTGTTATTTCTATTGCTAAGGTTCTGATAATAATTCTCGAAATCGCGTTGATTCTGCTCGCTGCTCAGCGACTGTGCAAATCCACGCCACTCAGGAACGAACAGGTAGAAGCAGTCACGTCTCAGCACATTCAACGAATTGTGTCCTCGCACTTGATCACGTTCAATTCCATATTCAGGAATGCAGAAATCGTAGCATTCTGAACATCGCTGCTCTGAAAGTCAGCATTTCAACTGAGATATTCATTCGTTCGTTTGTTGACGAAATTTCAAAATCACTGTGCGTTTTTATCTCTCAGTTATTATCAAATGTCGTTTCTTCCTCATTGACTTCATAATCGGAACAGAAAAGATTGGTACGAGTGAGTAAAAAAAACTGATTATCAGAAATTCTCGGAGAGCCTCTTTTCTGTTGCAATTATGATGACGAGAAAATGCTTGACATACTTTATTAATCAAAAAAAGATGTCGAAGAGTTCAAACATGCTCCGCGACTCTATTAGCTGTCGGAAATGTTCGGCATATTCGAGAGTTTTTGTGATTGGAATAGCAACTGCTGAGCATTAAGACATCCAATCAACTACGATCAATCAAACGTATGTCACATCATGTCATAGTCACAAACAGGTACATGCCATCATTTCTTCATGAGTTCGTCATTAATTCGATGCGACTTTCAGTTTTTATGACTCAATTCATCTTTGATCCGTAAACATCATCATTGCACTTCATCCCTTCAATTTTGTTTTCCTTCTCAGGTGCACAGCACACCTTATGATCTTACGATAGATATCTTATAAACTTTCCGATTATCGTATTAGAGATGATTAAAGGGCTCTTTCTGCTACTTCAGTTAATGAACTGTTTGAGTCAATTAGTTAAAAACTTTACAGTGCAACTAACTAATAATCAACGAGAACGTAGATGTAAATCGATGAGTTAAAAATGTTGAGCAGGTAGATAATATTTCAATGGTGGCTTGAAAATGAACCTTTTTGATCAATTGAAGTATAGTTGAGCTTTATCCATCGGGCTTCATCGCATTCTGGAATGGCGCTTTGAAACAGTGAAGACGCATTTCCAAAATACGGTCCTGGCACGAACTTCCACGTCTCTTGCCAACCGTGCAATTGCTCTGTTTTCTGGAATAGCGACTGAGAAATCAAATGAAGAAAAATTGAAGGGATGAAGCGCAATTATGATGTTTACGGATCATCATGATGTTGATACTTTGAGATCGATCACGTTCAACCTTTTTTGTGGCCACCAAAAAATTTTTAGTCAGACAAAGACTGATCACCGAGTTATCAACGAGGAAAATGGAATTTAATCAGAAAGGATTTCAGACGAGAATGCAAATGACTTACCGAAAGAGCATTTTGAGCGGCCGTTTTCAGTGCGTCAATACTCGTCATCGTTGTTGAGTCGAGATCCATCAAGAAGCATACCAAATTTTTACCGTTACTCTTTAACGTCGAATCAATGACGGCGACTTTGCGCTGAAACAAAAAAAANAAAAAAAACTTTGGAAGGAAATGCCTGTACGTCCACCAACATTTTCAGTGCCTTCATATCACATTTGGTTGATGTCATGCATGCCAAATAACATTTTTGTTATCTGCTTATCGTTAGTGCGCTAGCTCCAGCTCCACAGCAGTGATTCCAGTCCTCTTAGAAAGTTTATAAAATATTCTCGAGTGCACCGTTGAGATGATGTATGGTTCAAGGAGGACGGAATAAACATAAGCTGAGGTTAGTAGCCAATCTTCTTCTCCTGTTCCTCCACCACAATTGTCATTACTCGCCCCCTTCACATCCCTCTCAATTGCCATCTCGCAACTCAGAACATGCAATTTATTCTAGCTGTAAACCTTTGGTCTATACTGATATCTGAAGTAATTGCCGATTTCTCTGAGATGGAATCGAAATTTGAAGGCAATAACACTCGTCGAGAACATTTTTCACTAAAAAGTATAAAAATCGATCGCACCGTTTTAAAATCGTATACGGATTTGAAGTCACCCTTAAAGGGTAGGCCTCCATGAAGTTGAAATACGGCCTCATCATTGGAGTGAATATCCAAATTCACTCTGCTCGGGCTTTGTTGACCTTTTCGATGAGCGAATGGTGGGAGCCATGAGAAGGCAAAGTTTTTCTGCAATTTTTATCTGATATTCCAAAGTTTCTCTTAAAAGTTCATTCTTTAAGCTTCTGATGTGACATGATTGTTTGAAACATTGAAAGTGAATGCAGTAAACATCTGATATGACCTAGGATTGCACAAACGGTTAATTTCGAAGTTGTCTGATCTTATTTAGTGCGTTCAAGTAAAAAGTTTATCAAAAGTAACAACTGATCAATTACTTTGACTAAGAAGAATTTTCAGTTGGAAAGCACAATAATAACTGCAATAAATCTTACTTAACTGCTTGCTTGCCATTTATAACTGTTAATTTTTGAATGTTTGAAACTTTTCCGTATGACTTTACACAAAAATGTGCACTTTAAATTCAATTGCTCATGATTGATTGAATAGTGAATTGAGCGCTACTGACTATTTGAAGACTAATTATCGTCTAAACATTCAAACACAAACAATAAATTATGTCGAAAAAATCAATTCACAGAAATGGAATCCACGATGCCTTGACGCAGTCAATCTTGTTCAGTTAACAACCAAAAATGTAGTAAATTCAACGAGATGACATGAAACTGCGATTTCGGAGTCAACAAAAGGTACTGAAATATGCTCAAGAATGCCACCAGAAAGTTCATGACAAAAATGATTTGAGATGAAACTCAGAGAGATGAAAAACGTTCTTGAATCAAAGTTCTTAAATAGAAAGCATGCAGAAACGAAATTCTCATTTCTATTGAAGTGTTTGTTGACAATAGTGTGGTGCGAAGACGTGGATTCCCCAAAAAGGTCTGCGATTAAAAAAAAAGTCGCAGACGGAGCAAATCAGGAATTTTCGATGACGGGAAATTCCCCGAAAATTTCCGCAGCTGAAAAAAGGCAGGGACGGGGATTCGGGGACGGAGATCCTGAAATTCCCCGCACCATCTAGCTGAAAATACTGATAATATGGGATCTCTGTGAAAAAAATTCCACATTCCACATTGATAATAATTGAAGGGTATAGAATGTGAAGAAGGCTCACCGGTTGTAGAACGGTTTGTGAAAGAATAATGGCCAGTACTACACCAACAGCAAGGGCAATCGCTAATAAAGTCAAAATCAGTTTGGTGCATGGCCTTTGACAACATTGCCTTAATTCATCCATTCGATTACGCTTCGCACGTTGCTCGCCATTCTCATCAGGAGTTGATTCGTTCAGCTTATACAACGACCCTTTCGGCTGAAAGTTCTAATGAGGTTCTTCAAGGATGGTCAATTTTACGCAACAGTTGTGGAATCATCTTTCTTGAGAAAAGTAAAAAACGATTTTGAATCCTCGAATAAATTATCATTTTAATGGCAATGGTTTGGCGTATCTAGTGATGATGTTCTGATAATGTTATGAAGTGTTACTGTATGCGTCATATTCATTTACTACAAATTGTTTGTTCAGAATTTTACAAACACATCTAAAAATCCGTGAAATTTTGAAAAAATCCATCAATCTTGAAAATTCTGAAAAAAATCTATCAGTCTTGAAAAAATACAAGTTTGGAAGTTCAGCGAAAGATCACATTTGTACTCTCAGCAGTTTAAAGTATTCTCCAGAATCATAAAGTGTAGTGTGTGTTGACAAACTGAGTTGTAATATTTCAATATAAAAAATTATGCGATTCAGAATAGAACTGGTGTAAACAATACACTCTCGATAGTAACGTACTGAATCGAGTTTCATTGCCATGATCTCAGTGGTTAATTAGTGTTAATATTGGCACGCATTGCACGTAGCACTGCAACCTAATCAATCAAAGACACCTATTCACATAGGAGTGTAACGTTACAAGTTCGAGGATCATCCGGAGACGATGGAATAGACAAAGAAATACCACATGTTTAGTGTAACACCTCTCTGACTTTTTCAAATGTTGTTCATGTGAAAGTGCCTCTTGATAGATACCAATATCATAAATCAATCACAAGTCAGAATATTTTCGTCAACACTCAAATCATCAGCATTATTCATCATGTCCTTTCATCACAAACTGAGAGTATGGCATTGATGGATGCGTCTTCTACGGAAAGCTTCTACAATATTATGGGAATGAGCACCTGATGTGAAAAAACCGGGCACAGGGCTTCCAAAATTTCAACGCGGCGAACCAAACAATTGCCCTGAAATTAAACAAAGTTTCGCAGTGAAAATGCCAATGTTGGAAGGTTTTAGTTTGTAGCATGGGAATATTTCAGAGGCTGTTTTGATAGCTCAAGATCATAGTGTAACTATCACTAATCGACGGGGATTGCTTTATTCAAAATCTTACTTAATTCTTAAGTTGAAAAGCTGACCCGTCCGTCAACTCGAAGCATTTGCAATTTTAAGCGGAAATCCGACGTTGACTGACAAGGCTGTTTTGAAAGAGTGATATGGGAAGGATTCTACGGTGTGTTGTATCGATATGATGTATTGAAATGGTAAACAATAATTCGAATGTATTCGTAATGTCTTAGGAATAACTCAAACTACTGCTTATTTATAGCTTATTAACGGACGCTTCTGTCAATAAATGCTATTCTCATGTTTGTTTTGTGAATCGTATATACCTTTTGCACAGTACCTACTGGTCAAATAGTCATCTGTACGATGGATGCATTTTGTTTGGTAACAACCAAATGATTCTTTTCCTCTGTCGCAAATCATATGATGCAAAATTTATTGATCTCTTACAAAACAAACATTGAAATGACCAAAATTACGTACGACTAACGGTTATTTAATGCCTGCCTATGTTTACATCCCTCCCGATTTGACAATCTGTTGAAAACTTTGATTGAACTGATCAAAACGGCTGGAAACTAAATTTGTAAATTTCACTCGAAACTGGAAATCAAATTGCTCATGAAAGTGAAACCACAAAGATGGATTCATATGACACAAATTGACAATAAAAACTAAAATATGATGAGTTGTGATGCTGACTGGTGATTGAAAAACTGAAAAATAGAATCAACTTTCAACTTTCAAATGAGACGAAATAGAAAGCATAATGAAAAAGAGTGCATTCACTGAAGTTGAGCATTTTTCACAAAACGGAATAATCTTTAAAATGTAGTTCTTCTACCTTCAAATGGTTACCAAACACAATCAGTTGCAACAACCACCAAACTCATTTGCCCCCCCCCCCCCAGTAGTGCCTTCGGTAAATTGGAGTAGGTTTTCATTGTCTCATTCAAAGTTGTTCACCTAGATTTTTGCCATGATCATCAATCCAGTTTCCTGATCGAACACTGTAGCATCTCAGAAATTCATTGGTTAATTTCCTCAATAAGAGCTTTTGATTCATTCACATCTAGTTTTCTGTTTTTGTTTTCCTTACCGGAATAATTTACTCGATTTGAAGCTGAACTCTTCGAGAAGTAACTCATCCAAAAAGTAAACAAAACTGATGAGCACAAACAAAAAAATTCCACTCTCAGAAAAGTGAAGCAATCAGATCAGCTGAATTACTGTGAATTTGTTTTGTATGTGTGCCAATTAAGTAGCACCAGTGAGCAATTTGCAGTTGTTGTTTGATCAGTTCATAAAACAGAACAATTGCATAAAACGATTTCTCTGGGTAAACAAGCTCAGAGCATAAGATTCTTGAATCGAGTTGAATTAGCAGTAAATGACTGAAGCAAACTAACTGAACCCAATTGATTGCTTCTATAAACTGGGCAGTTCCTTTCTTTCATTGTGATGAGCTCATATTTGCTATTGTCATATATTTTCTACAGGAAGACATGCAGGAATATACCCACCTCTAGCTCGTTAAGAATGCACAGAAGTGATAATCATCTGTTACCGTTGCTTGCATTTAGCTGAGTATAAGTTTTTCTGATGAAATTGTAGTCACAAGTTGTTGAGTGATTCGCGATAATTAAGTTCAACTGGTTTTTAACATGGATCTGTGATTGATAAGTCACAGTTTATCTTGCACTTCAATCTTAATCACACACTTCAGTCTTATCTCAATCTTATTATCACATCTCAAAATAGGTTTTTGATTGAATTTTTGTTTACGAATCTCATTTTGCTATATCTATTCAGCTCAACAGCGCTTTTTTGAAATCAAGTAGGGATCAGGCTGAACCGGGAATCAGTTGAAGCAAATAAAAGTTATTAATTACAAGTAGTGAAAAGTACTATCGTTTAAGATCTCACTAAATGTTTTCCTGATTAGACGACGTTCAAATGAAGCAAATGAAGATGCTTATCAATTCAGCATAATCAAAATTTATACAATATGAGCTAATATATGAAAGTGAATATGTCAGATAATGTTACAATTGTGATATTTCAATTCATATGATACATCATAGCCGTTGTTTACTGTACCTATAATATAAAATTCATATTGAAAATGTGGTGTAAGGAGGAGATGCGTGCAAATATTTGACTGTGTTCATAAGAGATCTATCCACCTATATCGCGACTTGTGCCAACACCAAGCAAATAAACATCAACAACAACATTCCACGATGAATGACCACCACCCGCTGGCTGTAACCAACTCCGGCAAGTCAAAATTACTCGCATCATTCGGTCAATATCATGATCTGGTGGTTCTTGCCGGAGTCGAAGTTATAAGGTGCCGGCTCCAAAAAACATTGTAGCTCTCAATGCGCATTAGGAGCCCCGAAGGAATGTGGGGCTGGAATTCGGCTCGGACAGAATCGAAAATTCCGATGTGTCAGGGAATCGAACTACAATCGTCTGAACAAAAAGAGAATTCCTCCTTTCAAAAGCATACATTCATTTATCATTCAGTCACTCGTGACAGGGCTCGTTGATTAAATGCAAAAATGACGGAAAAATGAGTCTAGGAATTCCATTTTTTGCGGAAACAAACCAGTGCCAGACAACCTTCTATGAACTTGAAAAGGGCGGAACGGAATGAAGAAAAATCGAAAACTTGAAATTGAGAAATACGAAAACAATGAAAATGAACAAACCATTAGAACAAATTCTGAAACGCAACTCTGTTCAGCGATCGAGTTATTTCTAGATGACGGTACCACAGAGGGCGTATAGTAGCCAACAGCTGGAGCAGCAGCTGAGCGATTAAGTGTTATTGCTCTCATGAAGGTGGTGGCACCATCTTCAGTGGATGTAGCAGGGATAAGACGTCTAGTTGACGAACTTGAAACAACGCTTGGCACAGTTACTTTCGGATAAACAATATTGTTGCAATGATGATTATTCGTGTTCAAGTTCTCATCACTTTCAACCAAATTTGACCACGATGAACGACGTTTCAAAGCCATACTACCACTGTTATAGCCACTCGATGAGCATTCGCTCACAGTCGTGGTCGTATCATCCGAATAGATCGACGGACGATAGGGCGGTGGAGGAGGGGGGTAGTAGCCACCTGAAATTTGATTCGATCACGTTAAGGCCATTGATAGAGCCATGCTCACCAGCAATCAGATTGCAGGCGACTGTGTTGAGTCGAATAATGATCATAAGAGATTAATGCTGTCGATGTTAACTGAGAAAAACAAATCTCACTAATAGACGTTTAGATTCAAAGTTATGGATACCAAAGAAAAACGAAGAAACAGAATGATTCATTGATGAAAGTTACGCGAAGGAAACTGCGATTATAAATGCATTTTTCGGCATCATGCATTTCATAAGTCTACCTATAGTGGAATACAATAATGCTTCGAATTTTTTTCAACAGAATAACTGATCGGAGGAAGAAAGCACTTCTTGAGATGACTGAGCGGTAAAGTGAAATGACGACCAAAAGAATGAAATTGGAGTGGTTTCGAGGTATTTGTGAATTGTGTGTGCATTGAATTACGAGAATACTTCGTTTCACAAGAAAATTGTTAGATGAAGATAGAACGCGTAAGAATAGTCGTATAGGTGGCGTTTGCGCACAGCCAGCTCAAACAATACTCAATCGAGCTATTTTAAAACAAACAATTTATTTATTTAACTAATTTGATTTGAGTTGCTGACGTTATTGTTCAAAAATACATCACGAATAATGATCTTGATAGCCGTTACAAAGGAACAACCATTGACTACTTTTTATATCACGAAAGACATTAGCGTTAATTGCCCTCAGTACCAAACGATCTGTGCAGTGCGCAGATTGTTCATTCTTGAAAAATGAAATGGATAACATGATGAAATTGAGCTACACATTTCATGCAGAGCATATCGAATTAATTGCGATTCTAAACCAATTTCAATGATAGATTCTCGATAACCCCATTCTTTCATAAAGGCTTAATAGTTTTTGTAAAGACTGTTGCTAGTGACTGAGCTTTTGAACTTTATCCATGATTTGCACTCAGTGAAAATGCTACATAAGCGTGCCGTAGCGTTGAATATATCGTTTCGTAAGGAGTTTTTTACCGGAAACGATAATGGGAAGTGACAGTTTCATATCATTCGTCTAGAACGATAGCTAGTGGCACTCACGTGAAGTGCAATCGCTTGAGCGAACGAACCACTGAGGGCATTAAGTTGTTCAGTGTTGCTCTTTGAATTCATGATCACCCACGAGAATTTTATTTATTTATGTGTTTTGTGACCTTAAAACTGATCACTCCATCAATTAACAACTATTACACAACAATGCAACACAGCCATTTGCGTGTTCAATCAACATTATCGATAACCATTTCAACACAACAAAACTATCATTTTGTTGATCGAAGCAAAGAACTTTCTGAATCGTTTCATGTTTATTTCTCAGTTCCAAATCTATAAATTTGAAAGCTCGTAGTTAAAATTCGAAGAGCATTCTTCTTTCTTTTCATACATTTCTTAGTCGAAACTTTTTGGCCCATTTTTGATTTTGTTTTTTCCAACAATTAAAGTGCGCTCTTCTGTACACATCATCACTTGATTTGTACGGTTAAAAATACTTTTTAAGATGCACTCTTGTTAATGTTTTGAAGGGCAAAGGCGATGATCATGAAAGTTTTCGTTGTCTGAAAAATCGACGATAAAGTTTTTTCGTGAATGATTTATATTTGTATTAGCATCACTCATACCACTCATTAGTATCATCCAATAGATTTGCAGTTCAACGACCCTCTTGAGGATGTGATCCAGTGGACAAAAGTCTTTTAAAGCAACAACTAATGTCAGCGAGCATTTGAGTGTGGCGACCGAATGCAATGAATCGAAAGACTCAAATATTCGGTGTTTGTAAATGAACTGATAATTGCCAACGTTTTTCTCATCTGATTGAATAACTGAGTGAGTGATATGGAAGGAACGCATCAAATGAAAAGAATAATTGTGTAAAGGAAATGATATTTATTCAAACTAGAATAATCACTTTTTCTGAGAGGCATTCAGAGATCACAGATTGACTTTCGTTGAGAAACTGAAAATTTTCTGAATGATATGACCAATTCTGAATCAAACAATGCAACAGTTCATAAAATTTCATTGTGAGTTAAATGTTTGTATGATTTAAAATACTTTTCATGATGCACTCTTGTTAATGTTTTGAAGAGCAAAGAAACACAAGCCAACTTTTGGTGCAATGTTTTTGGTTCAGTTTGATGGAAGATGTTTCCGATATTGTGGTCAGAGAAGCATTTGATTGGTAAATGAAAGAAACACAAGGCGACTGGAATCGCTGATGAATCGTTCATTTCAGGAATGACATAACCTTTCGTGAGTGCGATATTGACAGCATATCGCATCTTTCAACGATCGTAACTTTCAACGATAAAGTTTCATCTGACATGATAAGTAACAAACAAACATTTTGAATTGGGTGTGGTGATTACAATGAATTTTCAACGTCGATCTCGTGCTGTGCATGTGAACACATTTTGTTATATGGGAACAATAAGGGACGACATAAGACGTGATGAGACCTTATATTTATTCGGTATTTCAGTACCGACACAGGGAATATACCGTCTCGTTCAATCATCATAATATGCGCTCATAACATGTCAGCATTATTTTTGTGGATGAAAATTTTTGTGGTGAAGTGAGTTTCGGTGCGATACAGTACTCTAGCATGTCTATGCGTTGATAAATTCGAGCAAGTTGAATGTCAAGAGGAGAGTTATGATGGTCGAAAAGGAGAGTAGAGAAGATTATAGCGAACGGAACGGTTAATTTTGTGGGTTAATTGAATTAGAATAAAAACTGAGAATGAAAATGTCTCATTCACTCTAGCGAACACCTCTGTTCATTGAAAAACAGTACAGTTTTCATGATTGATGCTAATTTAAGCATGATGTCTTAACAAATTATAATTCGTTTATTCGGAAAAAAAGTAACTCATCACTTCGCCGACCAAAAACCACGATTATAAATATACATTTTCAGTGGAAATTATTTCGAAATGATCATTGGACGATAATCACACTCTATGATAGTTTACTTAATAATGCACCAAACGAATCTTTTTTTTGCATTGAACAGTTGAAAACCGGATTTTAAAGTTATTTGTAATTTTGTAATTGATTTCCCTTGAGAAGCGTTTCAAAATTATTCTGGATAATTTACGATGATTGCTGTAATCAGGAAATTCAAACGAATCCATCAAAGTGCCTCGCCGAAAACTGACTGCTGAAAATTTAATTTCCAACAAAATTCGCTCAGCAACTGAATCAAAGATTTGATGAGTGCGTTGAAGTGTTGTCAACTGAATGGATAATCGTAGATAAAATTTGGTCAGATGCAATGGATCAATGCCGAATTGATCGATTCTCAGATAAGAAGTGTTTGAGTGAATGCGATCGGAACATCTGACATGAAAGCAGACGAGAGAATTCAATCAAGTGCAATATTCATGCATATGCACCTTAAGAGTGCCAATGCGAAGAACCTTTGTTCGTCATCATATCGCGTTGTTGACAGCTAGGCGACGGTTCTTCGTCACGAACAACTTTAAAATAGATAGCATGCTCGATATCAGCAAGGTTTTTGTTTGCAGATTAAAATTTATAGCTTTTTGAGGAAACATTTTGAATCGCAGAAGAGCAAATCCAGTGATCTTTGGTAACGTCGAACAGAAATCGCAAATTTTCGCCTCCTCACACCAGAGACTGCCTTCGTTTTTTTTTGGTTCGTTCATTGTCATATACACGGTGTGTTGATGGACGACATAGACAATGAAATTTTCAAAAATAGGTACAACTGAAAAATTGTTCAGTCCGTGTCCAGCAATATCCCGTTAACTTCTACCATATCACACATATTACTATAATATTTTACCATATCACACTTGTATTCTTCACAGTTCAAAAAACAATGGTGATCGAGGTTTGACCCGGTGAACGAAATCGGCCAGTAGATCAGATAGTATTGAAGGGATTACGGAGCAACCTTGACATGGCATCATTGCATTCATTTTTCATGCTTTATTGCTTATGTGTGTATATAACATAGCACAGAGGAGACGTTTATCAAATTATAGTGAGAACCTTTGCAGTCCTCTGAATCGTCAAGTGATAATGACGAATATATTATTTCAACTGATCGCACCAATGAGTTGAAGATGTCAAGCGAAAGGAATGATTGCATAGGAGTATTATTTGCGGATAAATTTCTAGGAAAAACACATTTTTTGAGAATGTCATCGAAAATGAAAGGAATCGCCAAATAACGACCTCTTGTGAAAAGAATTGTATAAGGAGAATGTTGAAGATAAATGCACGGAACTGCTGAAGCGTCAAAATGTTGACAATATTCAATAAACTGGTTGACATAACTTCATGCTTATATGTTTACGAAACTATTAACGAAAATTTTCGTTCTATTTCAAGGCCATCGATTAAAATTTAACCAATTTGAAGTGCAGTGAAACACAAAACTCTTAATTTCAACATGAGCGCAACAAGCAAATTTCATCGCGCAAGCAAAAACGAAAAACACGTAGAATGTTTTCGCAATATTTGTGTTGTTTACGATAAAAACTGCTCACGATCAGTTTTATGTCAAATGATTCCATGTGAGAAAAGGAAAAAATGTTGAAGGATAATTGAGATCAAAATTGCTGCAAAGCACTGCTTCTGAGTCCCATCACTATGTTTTAAATCAAATTCTTGTCAATATAAACGGCTACTCAACCAAAAAATGAACCTTATAATTGGGTCAATCGCAAATCACGAGTAACTGTTAGTAAGAGAAACAAGACAACTGGATCGACTCGCAACGACAGGTTTCGATTGATATTCACGGCTAGATGAACAATTCAAATTGAAGCCGACTTTTTGGTGTTCTCCAGTGAGCATTTAAACAAAAAACTCCTACTGTTTGTATGGGCAATGTGCTAATGTCATCAAGTGCAGAATTACGGGAGGAGGGCGATGTGAGAATTAGAAAATTGCAACTTACCGATTGGAAATGTGAAGGGTGTTGTCGTGATCGCTGGTCGTGGTTCTGATTCGAGCTGCTCAAATCGTGGATCTTGTCCACGTTGTATTAAAAAATTTCGTATTAAGCTCTTCATCTTGCATGTGAAAACGCTCTTGTCAGGATTTCAAATGGAATTATAATGCGTTCAATTACTTAGTAACGAGCCGGAGCAAGAACAAAGACTCCTTGCAACCAATGACTAGTGAACAGATTTCGATTATGAAATGCTTGACGCAAGCCGAGAAAGCAAATCGATGAACAATGACGATTCTCTGCAAATTTTCAAAATCAACATGACCTATTTGAAATATCCACAAACTCATCGCAATATGGCACGTATACTTTTGACACTTCGACAGTTAGCAACGAAGTTGTTCGGGTACAAATGAAGGTCGAATACTGATCGCAATAGTTCAACCGTGCGACAAAATAAAAAAGTCAGGTAAACAGGCATTTCAATTCATTAGGTTATGTCATCAATTAATCAGCAGGACAAGTTCCCAACGACAACACCAATAATAATAATAATAATAATAATAATAACAGCACCAACTGAGCAGAGTTTAAATGCGATTGTCGATGATGAGTTTAAGGGTGGAATTGACAGTGCTAATTAAATTAATTAATTGAAAGCTCGCTGATATCACTGTCCATATAAGCGCTATGATTTGTCGCCGGCAATGTCAACAATAACATCAAAACACCAGTTGATTTTCTTAATAGAATAAATTTTATTTGACTGTTTCTTACAGATGATACATGTATGTGGGCATTGAAGCGTTGGTTGGTTGCATGCCTGATTGATGACTTCCTCGTTTCTTTTGAGCGTATCCTCTTCCGAACGTACCTTTCCGTTTTTCTGTTTCTTTTTGAAACCATTCTTTCGTTCGTTTGCATTCAAACGATAACATTCTATATTTCCATATTACTAGATTTATCAATTTCAATACATACATTATTCAACATAAACAGGTTTGTTTCATACTCAGTCTTGTTAGTCAATCGCTCTGAAAACACGTATTCAAATGATAATTCATTGTTCTACTCGACCGTAACCGTTTTTATTATTTTTTTAACGATTGCTGCGGCATTATTTGAAATAATTTATGCGAGCTTTTGGCTCATAGAACCATCGTAACGGTTTAATAGGATACTTCCATTATGTACCTATCAACGATCATGTACATAGTCGTTCCTATCATGCCGTCTGCGGAACAATAAGGCAACTGTCCATACGATAATGATCATATTTTTAATGCTAAATAGCACGTTATCGTTACTGTTCATCAAGCAACAACACAGTTCAGACAACTGTCGTGGTAACAGCAAGAAATCTTATAATAATATCTTTTGAGATTTTAAAGTGAAACAAAATGAAGTTCAATTCAAATGGGACACGTGAACAATACAAATAATTACGAAGTTGCGTAATGCTGCACCGAGCCTTGAAAACGGTGAAATGATAAAGCACTGTCGACGGGGTGTTCCTTTGAAGATGTCGTTTTTGGAAGAGTCTGAAGAAGAGTTAGTATTTGTCTGGGCGTGATGATTCGTCCAGTTTCGCTCGTTGTTCCATTGTTCCGTTGTCGGTATTTTGCAGACCAAACGACGGGGTTTTCGACTGAGAGTGCAGAACTATCTACGAGAGGTTCAGAGGAATGGAGGGCAATAAGACGGACAAACAGAGGGAATATCATCTGTACAGAGAACCGTTGGACGGATAGATATATGGATGACCTTCAGATGTCATTAGTCATCATCGTTCTCATTTACCTACTCAAACATTCTTCTTCTTCTCTTTATCCATACCTACATAAATGAATGTTTTCGTGGAAGTCCTTACAAGAGCAAACGTTGTGTTGCCTCGTTCATTAACTCGATAATCACGTTTGCATTAACAATTTCGATAAAGCCAAATAAAGAAACAGATAGTGCTAGTTAGAGCTTGCTTGAGAAACGAGCATAATATTCGTTCAGTTGCAATTCACGATCGCTCTTCTCTTCATTCTGTTTGTTACATAGCCACAGTAAAATCATCCTCAGCACTGCGATAGCAAACAAAGAAGGCAAACAATGTTTCTGTTGTTCACCGGTGAAATGAAAGCAATTGGTAACTTTTATCGAGATATAATAACACTGTGAGAGCATTTAAACAAGCATTTGATAGCAATAAATCATTTGAACAATTCAAAATTGATGTGCATCATTTATTGGAGAATAGCTGATGAAGCTTTACGCTTTATGAATTAATGTTTCTGTATTTCACTCGGAATCTCGCAAATTATTTGAAAGTTTGGATAACTTGATTGAGAAATTCAAAATTACCATATCATTCTTATGTAATATTGCTATCTTCAGATGTGATTCTCAACTATGAACACAGTGATGTTTTACATTAGAAAAAAATTGCATCGTATTCAAATCGCTCTTCTTTTTAATGGACGAATACGAGTTGCAATGTCGGAAATTCAGAAAGAAATCATTTCAAAACGGGGTTGACCAACAAATCAGTGATTGAAACGATTCGCTCTGATTCATCTTGAAAGGGCAGATCAATTTTCTTCAATGAAACGAAACAAATTTAACGTTGTTTCGTTTTTCAGCAGAATGACTCACCGAGAATATCATCTCAACAAAAAACAATCACTGCAACAGTGTTATTTCCAAATAATTTCGGAACAAAGTATCTTTCAAATGATCCACTGAAAATTCGTGATACAGTCCGATCAGAGTCGAACCATACAAAACTCTTATGGTTCTTTCACATTTGTTTTCACATAATCCATCAATGAGGTCACCAAAAGTTGGCGATCATAAATTCGATGACAGAGTGCATTTCAACAGAAACACCAAAAATTCAAAATCCAAAACGTTTCTACCTGATGCCATCAGAGCACAGAATCATCATTCAAACTCCATAAAACATCACCTTGTGCCCTCTGACAAATCATCACTTCAGCAATATTACTTATGATAAATTCTATTGGGAAGACAATTAATTTTATCACGGAAATGAAGACAATCAATAAAATTGATGGTAAAAACGAGAATTACAGAGCATATTCATTCACTACATCACGATTCTGGGAAGGTTCCTTACAGATCAGAGGGATTTGAATAATTTAACGACAATGACCAATTACCTGCAACTACAACACCAACATTCAAGAAAAACATCTGTTAAAGTCTATCTACAGTGGTTATAAGACATAAACTGAATAGAGAAAGAATGATAACCAAACAAATAATTGGGATAAGAATTCCATAAAGATCCCTGCGCTAATATCGTCAGTTGGACAGACAAATGAAGGACAAGAAATAAAAACGTGATGCTTCTGATGTTCGTGATAATAAACAGGCATAAACTCGTAACGAATTGCAATTGCTGATTAGATAAACTGATCACAACTTCGAATCAGTATCAATTGATCGGAAGTTCAGATTCACTGATGAAACACCACACTCAAGCAAAGCTTATATGATGAGGGTTCAAACGATCACTGAGGGCATAATTTTGATGGAGGACGAATATTTTATAAATGCTTAATCAAGGAAAAAGTATATTCCAAAATCCTAGTGATCCCTTCAAAGAGATGTGTTGAATTATTGAATGGTTGGAGAAAAATTTGAATTTTGTTCACATGTGATCAATCAATTTCATATATTCCTTTAAAAATGCGTATCTCTTCAATGATCTCATCTCGAAATGGGGTTGTCGTTGGTGCATCACACATACAACATCAGGGTGTCACGGTAGAACAGTCGGAGCCAACACGCAGAACCCATCTCAAACTTGCAGAACACCCATCCAACCACTCAGTCTCTTCTGCTGTACCGCCGAGGAATGCACCGAGGGATATTTAGCAGAAATTTGGAACTTTTAGCTTCACGAAATCTTTTACGATGATTCGAGATTTCCAAAGTGGAGGAATTTGCCGTTCAGCATACACTATAATGGTGCAAACTGTCTGTTGGAAAATTGTCACTTTCCTTGAATAATGTGTGATATAACATATAACTAAAACAAAAAAAAACGCAAAAACAACGAGAAAAATCCAATAATGTTTTATCTCATCACACAAAACGCATACTCAATCAAATAATTTTAAAGAAACCAACAACATCAACAAAAGAGACAAAAACACCATAAAAATACAATGGAATCAAATTCAAAAATATTCAAAAAGTAATGCCTCCATGACTGGGAATCATGTGTGCAAACGATAACAGATAACAATAATGGCTTCTTGACATGAGCCACGCAAAATCAGAAAACAAAAATGCTGTGCAGTGGAAAACGATGTCCGAGTCATTGAAATTAAAAAATTGTTTTCATTGTTCCAATTTGTTAGAAGAAAAGGTTCTAGAATATTGGAACAAGTGGTACGGGTAAATGTAAGAATCAATCTTTTGGGAACAAGAAATTGTTTTGTAAAAACCAAGTATCTTTATGCTGTTCAGGATGAGAAGCAAACTCGAGTTCAAATTAATATGTGCGCACGTCTGAATTCCAACAGTAACACGAACCATCTCCATGCGACATTTGAGAATACGTTTCTGCATAAATATTCTCAACGTACGATGGCACAAAAACTCAAGAATAGGGTAAAAATCCCCCAATAATGCAAAGGTTTGATGAGTCAAATGCAATGCCACGATCCGTTTGATGCAAATTATCTTTGAAACAAAAGTTACACCGAGGAACGAAACGAGTTTAGCAAACAATAATTAAATAAAAACAGAAAAGCTGAATAACACAGGGTTATTTAGAATGATCTATGCTGATGATGAGGTTACAAGTGTATAGATCATAGCATAAAGATAATAGAAAAACGAGATTAAGTAGAATCCAAGTTTGATCCAGCCTTCGCTTAGTGCTCTCTGCAACTGATCGGCACTCATGATGGTTGTCGGGTCATAGATGCCTGGACCTGTCATCACCGGACGCTTCATATATCTGAAACATAACAATTCCCAGTCAGCGACGTTACTTGAAAGCTACAGAACTGTCAGTCCTTCTATTCCTTTCACAGACCATTTTTTGTAACTAACGATTTGAAGTGGTGTATTTTATAGGTTACCGACTCCGAATTCATCAGTATTTTTCAGACTAACAATAAGTTCCGAGCGATTTCATTCTGTTAGAACAGTCGAAAGAAAACTGAACAAACCTGTGGATGTGATATGCAATTAGTGGTATATTCCAACAGACTGCACCCAACTGCAACGATGTGACGAACAACACTGTGAACGATAAGTGGAGCAAGTATTCGGGAAGGATTAACTGAAACGTTAAGAATTAACTGAAACGTTTGTTTGATGGAGTGAATTAAACTAGAATGTGAATCATCCATAAATTTTCATGATGATCATTTCAAAACAAATCTTTTAAGAATTTCTGATCAATGAAGATACGATGTGAGTCAATATGCGGATGCTGATTACAATCAAACATGAGGCGATACATAAACACAGCTCACTTCCTAACTACCAATTATTTAAGCAATCAAAATTTGCAAAAGAATGCACATACCTGATTAAGATTTCTACATTGTTCTATTGGATTCTTATAGTCTGTTTTCAGTTCATCGATACATATCACCTGAAAGTATTATTTCGATTGAAAGTCTGCCATTTTTTCCAACACTAAAATATGATCTTAAAGTTTGACGGTCCCACGAAAAAGAGGGTCTACTTATATTAACGGTTGATCAACTTAATCTGATAATTCAGAACATAGAACACAAATGCGAAGTGAAAAGGATGCTATTTATTCCCATTTTCATTTACTGATCAACTGAAATCTTTAAAACAGCTAACGAAAAGTAGTTTCATGAAATTAAATAATCATTACTATTCCTGCGATTATCATGTAAATTACGAAACTTTTTACACTGAGCTGCCATCTTCCAATATTTAACAAATGATATTACCAACGAGAAATTTCCATAAACAAGTTTCAAACATAAAAAGTCCAAGTACTTTTGCAAACTCTTTCCAATCGAAAAGAAATCAAATCAATCGACAACTATCCAACGAAACTAAACAAAATCTTTCGAATTTTATCAGTTTAGCGTCAAATATTTCTGTGAATTCCAGGAGAAACTAAACAAATCTTACCGTGAAAATAGCGAAGAATATGCAAAATGCAACTGCAATCAGAGCAAATAAGTAGCAAAACGCCGCAAAAGTGAAAGCCATCGATTCTGAAGAGGTGGATAAAGCTAAACCACCACCAGCAGGTGTCACTCCAAGCGCACGTAAATAACTTCCATGTGGTGCGAACATCACTTGTGCAATCGGCAAGAGAGCTTTGAGAGTGTTCTATTGCAGCGCTTCGTATTGACTACTGCTTAATTGTCGGATGCTCGATATCACCAAATGGCTTCGGCGTCTAAGCATTCAGCTGTTTGGCACTAATAAATAGTAGTTGAGCATCTTCGACCAGCTAACCGCCTGCTAACCGAGTGGAATTTGTGATAATAGAGTATTCGACCTATGAAACGAATGCACGGAAAATATTGATTCATTAAGAAGGAAAGAGAAATGTGAAAATTATAGTGGCAGGTTATTGCATGAAAGCATGTGTTCAGGGAATTTGGTATCTTTATAGATATGTAGGAATTGATCTATGCAAACGAATAACTGCGCTACTCCCATTTACCGGCATATCAGAATAATCATATTTCGTGGTAATATTGTCGAACAAACATCAGTTGGTTTGGCTGAGTATGGTTCGATTGAGATGAGAAATGAGACGCATGGAATGTGTCAACAAAAAATCTCATGCACTTCGAAAGTCTCCTTCCAGCAGTCATTTAAGACTGTGATCTCATAGCATAGTGCATTAAGCAAGGATCGCAAACAGCTTTTGACTGACTTTTTTTGGACAGTTGGACTTCGAAACTCATAAAGTTATAAGCTCATAAGCTAAACTGTGCTTTTAAATCATGTAATGATATAAACTCATAAGCTGAGCTAAACTCATAAACTTTTTCTCATTCTTTCGAATTTTATTTATGAGCTGTAGTAAAAATGTTCGCAGCATAGATCGTTCACAGAAATTCAAACTTATAAAAATCAAAATGCATGAAAGGATCATCGCGATGTTAGAAGAATTATCACAATACATATTATCACCATCTCTGCACCCGTATGTTTCATCTCAGGTACATATGTAGTGCAACTACTTCTAACTGAACATTTGTCAAGAATCATCTTTTGTCAAGCTGATACAATTTGATCAGTTCCAGATTTTTTCGAATTTCGCTATGAATTCTCATTGAAAAAATAAAACTTTCTTCTATGTTTTTTCAGTAAGGCAAAAACTTTTTCATTCGTTAACGCATTTTAATACATTCGAATAACTCAACAAATCTTTAATAGCTAATGCAATAGGAATGCATCTCGAAAAACCAGATGTTCGAATAGAGCAATTCGAATAAACAATTAAGCGTAATGAAATTAAATGAGTGATGATTTTACATCCAGCCTGCGATTTGCCTGCAGTAGTTACCGAATCGACTCGTATCATAACTTTTGATGCTTCTATTCCAGTTAAAATGATCTATTCCTGTTCTACTGCAAGGAATAGAACAGGAATAAATCACTCCTGGTATCAAAATCCACTGAAAATTTCTTTTTGAATTTCCGAGTCTAATATCTCCAAAAAAAATCTTTTTTTCAAAACCTAAGGAAGCAAAATTTTGGGAATGTTTCTGCGTAAAAAATTCACTCGTGTATAGGTTATGAGTTTGCCGTTTTTACACATAGACCTGTGCATGCCAACTAAGCAAATGAATGCATGGAAAGGTTCAAGTCAGGTCGCTGAAACCTTCGAAGAAACTCATTGAATCATTGGGCAGATAGAACGGAATCAACTAGATTCAGCTGCACTGATCAACCGAAAATTCGCCATTTCATATCGTTTCTTTCTGAAATTTGCATGTAGAATAACGCTGTAGGATGATATGGCTCATTGCTAGTGTTCGTTGAACGATACCATTTTTGACGTGTCATTCATTGGTTTTTCATTTACCGTTCATTGTTCATTCATTTGACGACGTCTCATTCAGCGATTGCTGATTGGCATTGTTGCTATCATTCAACTTTTGTTCCGAGCGCATTCATGATTTATCATTCAAAAAGTTTACAATACAAAATGCTGATGACTAATATTTTTTGTCTCTGAATCATACAGATCAGATTTGAATTCATCAATGAAGTGTATAAAATAGTCGAAGCGTTGCAAATGAACAGCATCATTGCAGCTGCTTCCCGTTCCCTATTGTCCTCACCACAACCCTAACAAAGATGTTCTCAATCCAACGAATGATTCTAGTTGTGTGCATTTTCTGTCTAATCGCACAACCATCGGAGTGCGGATGGTTGAGCAAAACGTGGAAAAAATTGGAAAATTCTGCGAAAAAACGAATCGCTGAAGGTGAATTTTATGTTAAAACCTTTAGGTGATATGTTCCGAGTTAATGAGCCTTACAAATACACTTTAATATATTTCAGTCTCCCAAATCTGCTTTATCGAACGCTCATTTCAAATGACTTCACGAAGTTTATTTTTCAGGTATTGCCATAGCTATAAGAGGTGGTCCCCGATATCGTCGTCATATTGGTGATGCTATCTATGGAGACATTCTTGCAACAGAGGATGATCCGACTGAATTGGAGATCCCAGATTTTACCGATATCGAAATATGAGATGAAATATTATTGACTCGACAAAACATCAGCATGTTCACTTGTGTATTATTATAGTTGTACAATATTCTCAAATCAGTCACAAATTATTATGTTTGCCACATTGCCTTCTTGCAAATGTAATGAAATTACCATTATTGAGTGCACATTCACTTCATTGTATTTCAAAAATTTCGTGTAAGTATGAGTAAGTAGGTATACTTTGTAACAACTTGTATTTTGCAATTTGATCCACATAAACCCATTTTGATGGGTATGATGACTGCTTGTCGAAATAAGACACTCCATCGCCAACATTATATGTTTCCGAATTCTAATCTCTTGAATCCTTCGGCTTATGCCTTCTGGAAATATACATCCTAATTTCATCTGATAAATATCTAACATTGAGCTTAAACTTCTTGTTGGACCTGCCCGCTGGTTTGTTTTCAAGCGCAAACCTAATCTACACCTTTGATGGTGCTAAAATACTTCTGAGCAAACTTGGTATGGAAATAATTGAATGCACAGAAATTCATAATTTACATTATGCTCGATTTCTGCAGCACTTTTTCTCGAATAATACATCCGCTGAATATAATATTCGATGGCTGTTTGGAGAGCGGAACCAATTCGAAAGATGAATGGATTTGTTTAAGAAGTGAGTGGATCTCTGGAGGGCCAGTTCAAGATTGGAAGGGACTTTGTTGGGAGTGAATATGATCAACTAAGAACATTCATAGAATCATAATCACAGATGAAGAGATCCACTCGCTAGATGATGAACATCTCTACGTAACCCATCACCTTATTCACTGTAGTAGACCTAAAAGTATGGCCCAGGAAAGTTTAGCGAAGGACGGGCTCAAACTTGAGTTTGAGATGAGCGTATGACGTAGTTTTTATTAAACAGATTGGAAAAGTTATTTGATGTTATTGCAATTGTTTTGCCTAATTTCTAGCAATTTCTTTTGTCAAACATCGTTAATCTTTTTAGTTTAACATTGTTCTTATGTATTAGGCTTATTATAATTGTGGTTTTCTTACTCTCTTGCTTCGAAAGAAAACGAATTTAAACAACTGAGAGCACATTGGCGATTTTTTTTTCAAATCATTGAGAACTTATTCTAGTAAAGGTTGTCAAAAACTTCTGACGAAGCTTTCGTTCACGTAAAGTACGATGGAATGTTCAGTTTTGGCTGTCCGTATATGATCATTTCGGGTCTGTCCAGAAAATTTAAGTACTAAATTGCTATTTTCGCATATAATTAGTCCGCGATATATTAGTCTGTGTTGATGAGTGTAATATGCATTGCTTTCGCAAAACTTCATATTCGTTTTCTAAAAGGCCTTTTCCAACTTCAGCTATCAGACGCATTCGGAGAGAGTTTTCCAGCCGTCTTTAGCGTTTTCCTTTTCAAAAAAGGCACAGTGCAAAACGCAACAAACGTGATCATGACAACGCAGGAATGATAAAATAGGCCAATAGCTGAAATCGCCCAATTCGTTTCACTTTCAAGTGATTCACCAAAAAACTGATGAAATTATACGCTACTGAAGAATAGCAAAGCTTGAGCATTTTGAAAGAGCATTTGAATGTTTAACTGAAGCATAGCATGGGTTAGTATTTCATATTATTGATCGAGTTTGGAACTTCACTAGCCAAGTGATACGGTAGTCTAGGCGATTGTTGATACACGTATTGTTGACTGGTTAAATGAGAAGTATGACTGAAGCAGAGTTAGGAGATTTTCCATTTAAGGGGCCATGGAAGTTTATTTTTCACTTCTTTTTTACGTTTATGGAGAATATGCGCCCGCTGCTGCCCCCAACTCTTGGCTACGCTTTTGTCGTTGTTCATCTCTGAAACTAATGCATCTAATCAGAAGTATACTGAAATGGATTCGCGAGAAGCGAAAACATGAAATTGGCCGAATACCTAGTAGGCTGCAAGGAAATCATNATCATTCCGTAATGCAACGTAATCACTGCATTGCACCAATAACCACCTCATTATGTAGTAATCACAGCACAACGCCAAAACATAACATTACATTTCATTCATCAAATTCATTTGCTTAGAGAATATTTTCAAAACTGCTGTTTATCGAAATGTGTGCGGTACAAGTTAACAGTTTATAGATTTCATTACAAGTCAATAACAATTCAAGAGACCATCTTCACTGAAATCGATGGGGCAGTACCAGTAAGGATGCATTATCCTGCAAGATACAATTCTTAGCACCATTCTATTCCTGGCACATTTTCAGTAATTAATTCGTAGACTTTGCTCGTTACTGTAAACGAGCATCAGACGTTTTCACTGCATTTAACAGATGGTTTTTGGTGTTGTTGAAAGTTGATCACATTAAAATCGCACGTTGTGTGGCGCACTCTTGGAGATTCTGTAGTAACGATAACTGTAGATGATGACGTGTGATCTTTTGACGATCTTGCCCACCACTGAAAAAAGAACTTATCACTAAAATCCTGACTTTATAGGACGGATTGCCAAAAAGAGCCCAAAAAATTGCTCGTGTAAATACGAAGAGAAACTGGCTATAGACACCTGAGTGAGATGAAATTACATTGGTCCAATTGGTAAATGTTTTGATGTTTGCTATTGTTTCCAACTCAATTTGAACCGAAAATGCTTTATCGAAATGGTGCTGAATTATACTTAATGTTGGACGACAAGACAATGAGAATGATACAGACGAACTGAATTTAGAGTTTCAAAAAATATCGGAGCGAATGCTTCTCACCTGAACATCAGCAGATCCCCATATATTGAACGTAACAACTGGGATTAACGCAACCAGTGTTGACATGTAGAAGACTGCATTCCATTCCAAGTGAGTGCCTTTCTAAAATCAGAAAGTACGAGGAATCAATTTGAAATATTTGCGACGAATCAAAACTGGGATCAAATGTTTGTGAAAACATTGAGCAGATCTTATGGATTCTCCAAAATAATCAGAACTCTCGAAACTGCATCCGAATAGAAATGTCAGCGATCATGCTTATTGATATGAAACAATGAACGTACCTGAACAATCCATTTCGTAATTATTGGATTGATGATGCCAGCAGATGCAACAAAAAAGAACGTAAGTCCAGTGATTGCACCTGAAAACGCTGGTGCCAGTGATACCAGCGATGCTTGACACCCGGGTGTATGCAGACCTGAATACAAATATCAGTTATCTTTCATGATGTATAAGATCACCGTCTATGATATTACTTTGATTACCTTGATCACTAACATTATCCTCTACGATTTTTCGTACATCCGTTTGTTTTAGCCTTTTTAAAAAGTCGCAGCAATTACGCTTATGAATTGCTGCTCTCTTCTCAAGTCAAAATCAGCCATTTAGATCGAAGAGCTAACCATAGATGATCACAAAAGGTGATCTCTTACAATCCATAAATCTATGAATCGAGCGGCTTCACGTTGAATCACCTACTTTCAGTGTCACGATTCAACCTTTTCTCCTAGCTACTGCTCTAGGTTCCTTGAATCTATTACAAACAGATTTGTTACCTGCACAAGCCATGCTGGCGCAGAGCAGTATCACAGCTAATGGTGCATGAGATGAGTCCAGTAATGTTGATGCCCATAAGAACAGACCCAATCCAAGTGAGCCAATTGAATTCAATATTTTGCATATAATCGTGCGACTAAGTTTGGTTCTTCTCTGAAGCTTTCATTTATTCATTCGAAAATTTGGAACATGAAAGGAATAAAAAACAGAATCTATATTTTCGTCTACTTTGACGGTCAAAACCAATGATTTGAAGAGAACTCAAAACTGAGTTTGCTAAGTGAAATATGCTTATAGCTGGTTTATAAGCAGATCGAACTTGTTGAGTATTTTGGAAGCGAAATGTCATTCAACTTGCTAAAATACAAATTACCTGTAAGAAAGTGTTCAAATAAGATGACAATATTTTGCTGATCCAAAGACAAGCGGTTGGTAGAGCGGATAAAATGCCGTTCTCGGTAGTTGTATAATGATGCACATCATGCAGATAACTGAATCAGTGATTCATTTATCTTTTTCATCATTGATCAAATTCACTTTACACAAATTGATATTCATAATAACTCACATTCACATTAATCAAATTCAAATAATTGACAATTTTTGATTCAGTTTCATTAACGATTGAACATTGGGGTGGGTGGGCGTTTATCTTCCCTAACTGCAATCGAAATCAATATGATCGCGGACGATCAAAGTGCAGCTTAAATGGACTTGGAATTGTAAGCAAAAATAATAATATTAAATTTTCTGCTAGACTCTGGGAGGTTATGTTATTCCATTATCCGCAAACAACTGCTTCCTACAAGCTCCGACTTCTTTTTTCAGCGATTTCGTGATCTCGAACTTCAAGCACCAAAAATGTTTATGTTCTAAAACAAAGCATACCTTGGAAGGAACATGATCATGGTCATCAGCGGGAATTCATGGCAGATGACCGCAATAACGGCCGACCATACGGGAGCCGATTTCAGGATTTGTAACCACGGTACTTTCCGTTGCATACGCTTCTTACCGATATTCTCATTCAAATTGGATGCTGTGATGAATTTCAGTTCTTTCTCGGCTATACATGTTTGCTTGGACGGTTTATCGGCACCTAATGCTGTGTATATGATAACGAATGCGATACCGATACTCGCTGATAAATAGAATATCGATGGCCAACCACCGAACAGGATTGTCTGACTGCATAGCGCTCCAGATGCGGGAACTATCAAGAGCGTACCTGAATCAAACGGAAATTTTGCGTCTGGAATTGTCATTGATGAACATGATTTGTGGATCTATTACAGTGAATATTCATTAAGTTATCCGCTTGCAGGTCATTACGACACATTTTTGCGACTATGCGGAAGGTTGCGTTATTTCTGCCACTTGATGTTACATTATCATCAGTCAGTGAGTTGAAATAAGGGGGGGGGGAGGGGTACTGTATCTATTCCTTAACTCAATTAGCTCGTGCTCATTGCATCATTCATTGATTCATTCGTTTACATAAACATTCATTTGTTTATTAATTCATTTGATATATTCCACTTATTGTTTTATACTCATTTGTTGCTTAAATTCACTCATTAATAATTCCTTGAATTGTCCATCACACTCATTTAATCATCTGAAGAATCCTTCTTTCTCATCTTTATAAGAGACCAGATGCAATGTTTTTAGGGTATCTTACTGACTCCATCATGGAATATTCCGATATCGTCTGAATATCACGACAATTTGTTTGCTCACCAAGTTGCCTTCCGCCAGTGGCCAACCCGAGCGCATAGCTTCTTTCGGTTGGTGGAAACCAACGAGTGATTAATGAATTTACAGACGGCTGAAGCAGCGCATCCGAAACACCAACGAGAAATCGTCCAGCGATGGTGTAGTAAACACTTAAATTGAGATTGTCAGTGATTTAATGAATTACAGGTATTCTTTCGGAAAAAACTAACTGAAACCACATTACTAAAAGTATCAATAACACGATTACAGTCGTGATTGAAATTCGCAAAAAATGATGTAGTTGGATTTGGTGAATAATGCTCAGATACAGATGTTGATACATGTCAAGAAAATTGTATTGACAGATATCATTCGAATATTGATGAAAAAAATGATTATGAAAAACTTCAAGAAGTTGATTGAACATATAACGGTGAAAACGTTTACCTACCTCAACGCTGATGCCACAGCTATCAATAAGTTTGCGAAACTTGCGATCAGAACACTCCCAATAATCATGTATTTAGCATTGAACTTATCAGCTAGAAGACCCGTCCCTAACATTGTCAGCAGACCCAAATTGAATGCACTAAAAATATATCCTTGTTCGTCCGCACTCCAGTCCATTCGCTCAGCTGCACCGAACGTTTTCCCGGCATTCTCACTATTCATTTCTTTTTCGTCAATTAGATTCTGACTGCCCTCCATTTGCAACAGTGTTGACTGGTTGTCAAAAATGTAATTGGCTGATTTTGAGTGGTTGAATTGCGATGGTTTGATCATGCAAACGATTGCCATTCCCATATTGCTATTCATCATATGTACACTGCAATTTGATTTTGCTTTACGACTAGTACAATCTTTAAGTTGCACATTTATATTTCTCATAAACTCCATTCAAAAAACAGTTCATAAAAGAAAGTTGCAGCCGTCCTCGGTTCATGAACGCTCACATTTCTTATGAAAAACTGTGCATTTGAATGATTCGATCCACTCACGATCAGACGAATGAGCTTCAAAATTGTGAGCATTAGAAAGAGCTTCTCGCATTGTGTCACAATTAATAATGGGAAACGATAATGTTAAACGGTTGGTTTTAGAGATAGCATTTGAAACTACGGATAATACTGAAATCGCTTGAGAGTGAATGTCTTAAGTGATGCTAATATAGAATTGTTTAAGTGGTTCATTGCTTTTGGATAGGAATATCGAACTTTCGGCAGTTTTCGTATCGAATTTAGTAGTTTCGTACGTTAAATTTTTAACATTTAAAAAGTACAACAACATTCTGCAATATCGTGTGGGTTTCAAACGTTCTTTCCCACTGCTGATCACAGCAGATCAAACTCTTAAGCTTCCGACTGCGGAAAACAGTGATTGTTCCTTGTTTTCTTGCTTGAGTACGTTTATGGCGAAAAATGATTTAGAAAGGTTGAAAAGTTTTCGGGTCAAGACCTCGAAAAGCAAAGACACAATAGTGTTGCAGTTAACATCCGCCATGAAGGGAACCATCGGTACTTCAGCTTTGGGGGCAACTTCTCTTCTGTCGGATGCACACTGGCAGCCATTCGCAGCAAGATTTCTGAAATCAATCAAATCATTCATCGAAAATTTCACGCGAATGCAAAATGCTTCTGAAATTCTCGCTTAGCACAACATTTGATGCGTTTGACATGTTGATTTGATCAATCGAAATGTGCGCTGAATACTTGATTGGGAACGATGGTAGTACTGAATAGAGCATCACCAGATGAATAAATGAGTATGTCTTGCAATCAAAAAGGTATTTATTGACAAAAAGGTATTAAATATTGACAATTAAGGATTCAATGTGTGCGATTCCACTGACACTCAAATTACCACTGAAACAATGCAGTTGAAGAGCTTTCATCAAAAAAATGCTTCTGTTGTATTCATTCGACATTCCGGAGAAGAATGAAAAACTTCGAATTGTTTATAAATGAAGAACAAACTGACCGGTGATATGTTTATGAATAAAATTTGGCTGTAGAATATTTATAAATAAAGAATTATAATGTTTGTAAATAGAATAAAGAATGAATTGTAATCGAACAGTACGATGCTGGAATTGAAATTCCCTCGGATTTTCGAATAGACGAGATAATAAGAAATCAAAATGGTTTAATGTAAAGTGGTTACGAACTTATGAAATCATCGAACGGAATCTTATGAAAGGCATATTAATCTTATTTCCTTGTGTTCAGAAGAGTGCATTCATATGTTAAGCATATCAGTTTTTTTGTTTGAGTTCTTTCAAATCACTCATGATGTGCAGTTTCGTATAAATTTCCATGTTCGGAATGCGAACACGACTCATTAATCATAAAAAATACAATTAAAATACAGCAATAGATCGTGAAATTCTGAATTCTTTCTTCTTGAGAAATTTCAATCTTTTATTTGTTTTTTGATTCAATCAAATGATGCATTCAACTAAGCTAACAGTGCTCAATCGTTCGTCCCTCAAGCAATATCTTCGGCGCAATTAAGATAGATGAACCATCGACAAGGTAAGAAGAAGCAATGGATGATTTTTAATTATCGTCGAATGTGTAAATGAAATAGACTGCACGTATTCGTCCAGAACTCATAATTCAATGCAGTTTTTCGTTGATGCTATGCACTCAACAGGAACGGTGCCTCATCAATATCACACTCAACGAGCGTCGATTTACAAATGCTCCCTTCATTCGCACGATCTACTGAATGCAATAAATTTTACGGCCAAAGCTTCTCAAGTTGATGATCACCCATTGAGTCCGTGAGTTATAACATTGCACTTCAGCGCAACTTTCCTTCGTCTTTCTTGGAATTTTCTGCAGAATGATCGTGAAAATATTATAAATTACTTCTATGCATCATCACGTCCTATCAGACCAATTCAACGAAGTTACAACGCGTATCAAAACGAACGCGTTTGTCCTCTTGTTAGCTGAACCTTTAGAAATTTTGAGACAATTTTCCTATGTTTCCGCTGGCAAATGAATGAGTGCGCCTGAAGGTTCACATGTACCAGTAGGTATATTAGGGTATAGACCTGTAATTGCTGAATATCTTGAGGATAGATGAATTCGTTAAAGAATGTGTATCATGAAAAAGTGAAATAGAAGAAAAAAATCGGAATGGATACAATCTCGTGTTAAGATCAAATCATGACTGCATTGCTAAACCAATCTCACTCTTTAACAATTACGCAATCTCGATACGAACGAACAGAACGATTGTGAATAAAAGTACCGTTGAAATTGGTAACGAACACCATTAATTTTGATGCGATCGTATATTTTCGGGCAAAACAATACGTAAAATATCAGAACAAAANAAAACAATCGGCATAACGATTTACAACGAGATTTGGTGCCTGGTGATGAATGGAAAATAAAAAGCGACTTTATTCGTAATAGATTTTCCCTTTCGATCGGTAAATGGACCTTTCAGCAGAAGTAGGCATTCGAAAAATGATTTCTATGTAGACTATGAGGCGATCCTTCTTAAAATAAAGTTTAAAAAATCAAACTGTCTTCTTGACTGAAGAGATTGTTGCAAATGAAATGAGTTGATCAGTGATCATTTAAAAGAAGCCATGAACCGGTCAGAAGTCACCTTAGACTGGATTAAGACAATAAAACACAAGAGCCGTGATCGCACGATGAAAACCATCCTACTCGGTTGGTGTCGGCCCGCACTGTAGACAAGTGGTGGTCATTTGCGGTTTGGTGTGCATTCTTTCTTGTATCTTAAGCAAATTTACCTATCGCTTTTGTGAGTTTACTCAGCGCATCATCTGATTGCGCATTCTATTTCATGTGATTCGCTGCACATAACCTGAATTCGTATAGTCCAACAACATCGTACAACAATTTTTCAGTCGAAATGACATTATTCAAACTGCAGTATTTTACTTGGTTCAACCAATGAAGCTGTATGATTTGGAAGTTTTTTTGAGGAAAATTACTACGTATTTGAACGATGAACCGTATTTGAGTGCTTGATTCGGGTGGCATCTTTCTTTTTGCAATAGATTCACTAAGTAAAACAATCGCCTATCTACTTACTTGAATCAAAAATGAAACCGAATACAAATCTTCAATCTTTCATTGATCTGAGTTGAACAGTACTGCATAAATCATTTCTATTTTGTCTATTCAATGCGAAAAAATTATTCGTTAAGAAGAGAGTTGATTCGAAGCAGTAAATGACGAAGTTTTTTTCGTTCCTCCTTTCATCTACAGCCGCCATCTCGTTAAATTCACCCAAACTTTTTTCCAACAATCTTCTAGTGAAAACTCAATTCACTCTTTGTTTATGGTGAGAAGAACGATTGGAATACAGCTGTTGTGCACTTGATTAATTGGACTCGCACTTGTTCTAGACGAAAGATTCGTTGTAAAGCAGCTCAGTGTAGGCAAAAACTTGCATCTCTACGTTCGAAGCAAATGAAAATCAACTCTCTAGGTGTCAACGAAACTTCCGTGTGAATATCTGAATGAAATATGGCAAAGTGAAAAGCAAAGTCCATAACAAATCTGTTTATTTTATGTAATAATTCGATTTCAATCCAAAATCAGCTTTAAACAGGCTACAAAATTTCTGCTCCTCAATCTATTGTTTTTGTTGATATTATCGTGTCTTGCAGTTTTTCTAAGTTACGTCCTTTCGAAAGGTCATTTTACCGTACCAACAAATCGCCTGTAATCATCAATCTATTGATCACTCGACCAATATGAGCATAGTAGTTGACTCAAATCAACAGCAGAAAACCATAAAATTTTCAGGTCTCATAGCGCTTGCTGAAATCTTAGTTTTTGCCTCCACGAAGACGATGTCTTATTGAGAGTAACTGCAGCGAAGAATAACTCTTAAAATTATCAACTTATTGACGTCAGGATTGATGCGTCATCACGAATACGAATGAGATAACCATGAAATAATTCAGACAGATCCATGGCTCTATGATGACTACTCATAATTTTCGGTGGTAAATGTGCAGCTATTATCATATCAAAGTTCATTATTCAGATTAGCAATGAATGCGAACACATCCAGTTCCTCTTACAGATAGATTCGAACTGATCAATTGAAAACGAAATCGAACTGCTGATGATCGCAGTGCTGAACTCTTAAAGATTCTGTGACATGCTATCTTTTTTGTGCTGAAATACAAATGGCCCGCCAGTGGAACCATTATGAACATTATGATCAACGAATAAAGTGAAATAAAGTTTTAATCACAAGCGATGTTTTATTCAATAATTCGATAGTAATGTGATTCGACACGACCACAAAATAAACACAAACCTTTTTCATGATGTTGTTGAGCCGACGAATGCTCTGAAACTATTCCAAGTTAAGCATTACGAAAGTACTGCATGAATACAGTTTCACTGTCATAACATTTTCGATCCTTATCAATAGGCTACTTATCGCATCGTTTTTATTTCTTAAGGTCGCTTGCAAACATGCACGGTGAATAAAACCTCCGCAGCCGTTCAACCACCCTAAAGCAGACACCGAAACAAGTTCAGCGAATAATGCTAATCCCAAAATTGAAACCCATCCATACTTTTCTCATTGAAATTCCGTGTTTTCCGCTACTAACGCGCTCGTCAGACGTTCACAGTGGAAAGAGATCCGAATGCAAAGCAGTAGTTAATGGATAGCAGCCATGATCATTAACGTCATAAAGTGGAAAGTTTTCGGTTGGATCGAGAGAATGGCAAAGGATGTTGTATGATCGTTCTTGAGTGATTCATGCACATATATTTGAATTAAAATAAAAAACAAAATCTTGTTTGTGTACTGAAATTTGCAGTAATGATCAATCGCTAAGTTAAACACACACTTAATTCATTTGCAATTAGCAATGAGAAACCAGTTAGTGGTGTGGGTGCAGGAAGATGAGTGGCCGGAATACCGGTTGGCTACAATGCAGCTGAAAAGCAGCTGGATTCGTTATTGTGGACAGTGGGCAGTCTACACCCGCCCAGCCTCGATATAAACAGCACCTCATGACTTATCCGCTCGTAGCATTTCACCATCCAACCGAAACTGTCGCATTGCTTCAGTTGAAAGATATTTTAATGATTAACACTTAATCGTTTATGCGGTCAAAAGCGTCTAAATTTCTAGCATTAATCACAGGTGTATTATCGTCTTATAGTGCTGCTAAATTCATGAACTAATCATCGTCAACTTAGAGCATCTGCAATAGTTGGTTGAAATGTGACGGCTAATATATGAACCCTCCGAGTCCAAGAGTCTATCTGAACAAAACGAAAATTACCTGATCCTTCCATTTTAGGCAACCGTTTGTCTCGCTTAGTGCCGTAACGAATAAACTGCGCGGAATGGTCCAAACTGTACGCGAATTATTGCTTCATCATTTGTCGAATGAGTTGATCAAAATGCTCGAACACCTTCCAAATTTCAGCAGCTTCACTATGCACTCCGCCTTTCGAATGCTGCTTCTCTAGATTCTCTTCAGCTTAGTGGGAACGCTCAGCTCCCGGCAATACTGAGATATGCAGACGGTGTGATGTGTGGAGAGGCCAAATATCCATCACGAAGGTTAAGGATATAGTCTTGGGAATTTGACGGTCGGCGGCGATCAGAGAAAGAGTAATTGAAAGCCGGGTGGGGGCGGAGTTAGTCGACCGGTTCAGCTGTTCCGCAACTCACAGACTGTATAAATCCGTAGATTTATAGGCGAGGAATCGCTGCAGTGTTGTAAATCTCATCATCACACCCCATAGAACGTCAAGTGATCGCAGCACATCCGACCACCATTCTAGGTTCACGTTCAGCACACGGACACATCACCTATACGACAACATTGCGATCACATTCACTGCAACCGTTCATTATTTTTGCTCATCCTGATAATATTCATCTTCAGTTCATAAAATCTCTAAAATGTGTGGCATATGGGCGTTGATCGGTAAACAGTTCACCGGAAATCATGAACGTGAGTTCATGAAAATTGTTGGACGAGGACCGGATCTGAGCGTATTGGCTAATGTTCACCCAAACGTTTGGCTTGGGTTCCATCGTCTAGCAATTGTTGAGGTTTGTGAAGTGGCTTTTTTGGCTTGAAATTTCACTGCATTCATGATTCAGGTTATATATTTGTCTTTCGCCTCTTTGTTTGCGCCATTTATTTGCTCTTGTTGCTTTAGCTCTGCTCTTTTTTTGGAGCGAATGTCTTCTAGTGGCAAGATAGATTTGACAGATTCATTTGTTTGTTCGTTCAATTTTTGTTTCTTTGCCAGTCTTTTAACTGGCCAAGAATTCAAGGAATATAAGTAGTGAAAAATAAACTCAAGATTCTTTGTGAACATCATCTGTTAAATCGCCACATTGCACCATTGAAATGGTCAAAAAGATTCACAATAGAGCTCTTAGATCACCCGTGAAATCTCTTAACAAACTATTGAATTTCTACTCATTTCACAAGATAGGAGTTGAAAATCTCTCGCAGCCCATCTGGAGGTTTCGAGTATTCAGAGTAATTGTGTTCACAGTACTGATCGTCCATTCCCCATTCAGTGTTTTTCGAACGCAATTTGATTTTTTTCAAAGCATGTAATTCGACAGAGAGTCATAATATTTATTCGGAGTAGGAATCTTTGACATTACAGGAAAGCTGACACTTACCTGGTAACGATCGATTCTGATAGTCGTCCAGAATCCGAATTTCCTAAGTGCTTCGCACTTGGCCTTTCAGAAACTAAGCTTGTAGTTTAAATTTAGTATTTCAGCCAGGTAATGTGGAAAGTGAACAACCGATAATATATAACAAACTGTCAGTGATATGTAATGGTGAGGTGTACAATCATCGTGAGCTGAAATCAAAAAGTGGATTGAGCGGAATACGCAATGGATTATCGGATTGTGCCGCAATTATCCATGCGTTCGCGATTTTCAATGGAGATTTACAGAAGATCTGCGCGTCAATTGATGGTGTTTTTGCATTTGTTATGGTAGATGACAGCTGTGTTTACGTTGGTCGTGATCCGATCGGTGTGCGACCACTTTTCTACGGTTTATCGAGTTCAGGTTCCTGGAATCCGATTGTTGCTTTCGAAAATTGTTCACGAGATCAGTAACTCTGATCTGATCGTAACTGCAAAAATTGACCAAAATTTCTAATTGAACTTAGATCACTCATAATTAGATCCATCCGTATGAGTTCGAAAGCGCGGAATGATAAACGTTGTGAACAATCGCTCACTGATGTTATTACTAAACCACTGCTAACGTAGAGATTGAATTTTCCGAAACTTTGCGATCATTATGTCGAAGAGAGTCGAAGTGACACAAATATGCAGAGAATGTCAAACAAACTGAGACGAAATATTTCAGGAGAGTTATTATTTGGTTCTGAATTGAAATCAATCGAGAAATTATGTGAGCGTGTAATGATATTTCCGCCAGGATGCTGTGCTCGAATACTCATTGATTCAGATATGAGCAATCTCAATATCCAACAATATTACCTATTGCCATCAATGGCTGATCGAATTATACCAATGAATATTTCACAGGTTCAAATACTTTCACCTGAAAATCGTTCAAGTTCATTCTGTGAAATACTGAAGTTTACTGTCGTTGAGCAGAAAGCAAAAAGCAGCAAGAGTGGCCACCACCAAAAGACTGAGTATTGAAATGGAACAAGTTCAGCGTTATGGAGAATAAGAGGAACAATCAGAATGATCACTTTCGATCTGAATATATAGAAAGCATCCTTATGTATCGTATAATTCCGAAGATATCAATGAAAACGAATTGAATTTCAGAGTTTAATCCGTCAAACATTGATACATTCAACTCAAAAACGATTAATGGGTAATCGTCAATTTGGTTTTATGTTGAGCGGTGGTTTAGACAGTTCGTTGATTGCAGCGATCGCATCCAAACTTCTGTGCAATCAACGACAACGACCGATCGCGTTCAGTGTCGGCTTTGAGGATTCTCCTGATATTGAAAACGCTCGCTCGGTTGCTAAATTCCTCGATATTGAACATCGCGTTCTCGTTATTACACCACGAGAGTGTCTGGAAATTATTCCAGGTTATCATGTTTGAAAGTTTTTCAGCTGATTTTATTAGGTCACTTGTTAAAATGGGACCGGAAAAGAGTTTCATCCAATCCAGAAATGCCCAAAAAATTGTGAAAAAATACTCTTATATTAGCGTCTGAAACTATTGAAAGAAACGTAAATTTCTGTAATCAAATGTGTATACCTTTCACAATGAGCTCAGCTGCGAAAGACATGATGAAGGGCAACATTTCCCTAATGTCAATATTTGAAATCAGTTCGACTTGTTCGTGTATATGACTGGCTGGAGCATAGTGATATTCTTTTCCCAGTCAATTTCGCCTAACTATTTCAGTTGTTTTCAGAAGTGATCTATGCATTGGAAACGTTTGAACCGTTGATAATACGCTGTGGCGTAGCACATTACTTATTATGTAGGCATATTGCGGCCACTTCAGATGTCAAAGTTCTGCTTTCAGGTGATAACTAAATCAGAACAATCTTGCTCATAGCATACTTGATTATACATTGGATCAGTTCACATTTCACTTCACTTAAACATCAAATCAGCTATCTTTGCAAAATGGCTAAAGAATTGCAATGTACACACTAACGAAATGTGCAGCCAGAAATGGAGACTCAGTAAAGATTATGAAGAATGGTCGTGAAAATTAGTGACAATTACATTTTGTTAATTAAGAGAGGGTTTAAGCATGAACAAAGTGCTTCTCACAACAATGATCCGTCTTGAGCAAACAGGTTTTCACCAGTCTCAATTCGCTCTTTTTTCGCAATTGCTCTCGAAGTTTTCTATCAGATGCAGTCAGTTTTGTTGATTTTAGGTGAGGGAGCAGATGAGTTGTTTGGTTCGTATGCATACATGCAACGTGCACCATCAGCAGCATATCTTCATCATGAAATTTTGAGACGTATGAGATTGTTACATCATTACGATGTGCTACGTTGCGATCGTGCCACATCCTGTCATGGTCTCGAAATACGGGTACCATTTCTGGATAAGAAATTCATCGATTTAGTCGTACGATTACCGGCTAGCTACAAGCTGATGTCGGGAAAATTGGAGAAATTTATTCTAAGAAACGCTTTCCAAGATTGGCTTCCGGATGAGGTTTTGTGGCGAAGTAAAGAGGGCTTTTCAGAAGCACTTGGTTTGTTTTATTTGGCTCATATATGAAATCTATTCATGTAGATGGTATGATTGCTATTATGACAGATAATTTTCATGCTCTTGCATCTAAGAGAGAAATATGAAAAAAACATTGGAAACGTTGATTTGTCAGCCTGCTCAATCGGTTTCCTTTCATTAAGTTATCCACTCCCTAGTAGGACCACTGGTCCAGATGTTTTCCCAGAAAACAACGAACACCTAAAACTAATAGATCTAAGAACTGATCACATATGCTTCTAGATAACACCAACTGAGCGATTGCTGCATTAGTGCCGTTAATTCCACAAATAACAGCCATGAGCAATCTTCCTCTATAGGTGGCTGTTCAGTGAGCAATGCTGTCGTAACTGTTCAGTAAGCCGCTATTCATCTTTGCAAGTTCAGGTAAGATGGATCTCGGTGAAATAGTGAATGATCATGTGAATGAATTGATATCAGATGAACAATTCTCCAATCGTGAACTCTACTATCCACAACGAATTCCTGAAACAAAGGAAGAATTTTGGTATCGAATGTTGTTCGAAGAGATGTTCGATATGAACAAGACTGAATCCACTCTCCATACAAAAGTCTATCGGTATACCATCAACTTCCTTCATTTCACATTCACTGCATTGTTGATTATCAGCAGTTTTTTGAATACCTTTTAGGTTCAGTCGTATCTTCACGCTATCTCATCGTACAGCACAATAACATTACATCGACTGCTTTTTAAATCAATTTCTACCGACTGTTTTTCTCATCGCTTTTGCCTGCTACCACCTTAAAACAATATCGCTGTCATATTAATTTTCTTAATCTGGCCGTGTCATCACTGATAACTGGAATGGCGTTAAACTGAGGGATACGAGTTTGAGTTGGAATAAATCAAGGATAATATTGGTTTCAAGCATTTCAGAACCGAAATGTTTTGAAGGAATCTTCCATTCAGTGGTAATCATCCTCAGTCAGTGGCAGCATTTAGTGGATGTGTACATAACTAATTTGAAGTGCATTTACAGAACGGCTGCATGGCAACGAGCAAATGAAAAAGAGAATCTTCCAACGCTTCTGCATGTGACTCAAAATATGGCTCGTTTGCGACGACGTTCAACAGGAAGTAGTCAATTGATCTGCCTTGCATAATATCCGTTTATATTCCTGTACATATATATATGTTTTGTATGTGTGTCTCTATCTGATTAATGTTATTACAATCACTATCACAAGTAAACAAAACCAATTTTGATTGTTTAGACCTGACCTTCGTGCTATTTTTTGAAACATACATCACCGAGTCAGGTAAATACTCAAAACTTGGCCTGAATGTCATTGTATTTATCCACCGGAATAATTAGTTTTGAGGTCAATTCATCGTTAATTCCTTCAACGACCAAATCAACAAGTTGAAGATTTCGAAATTTCAGATAGGGAAACGCGTAAGGGTTCTTCGGAAAAAAATTCGATGTTTTTAACGCTCACAGAGTACATTCTTATCAATCGTTCAATTTCTAGCCAACTCCACCGTAGTGTGCAATGTTCAAATCCATATTGATTGCTCTCCATGTAATCAATTTTATTCGAAGATGAGTATGTGTACACAAATGTGCCATTCTACACTGTGCTTTCATTGATTAAAACTGATAAATCCGCTGTAATGATCAGTTACACCCTCGCAGTTGAATTGAATTGTGTGCAATTTTAACACCTTCACTGAGAACGAGCACTTGTTACAAAATGGACATACGTTGTAAAATAAATGAGGAGTGATTGTTACTCATCTGAGGATAATGATAAAAAGTTTATAGTAACTTCATCTTGCTTGCTGATATTTACAGATGAATATTGCAGCAACTGTGCTACCTAATGATCAATCTATCAAACATAATCTCCTCTTGAACAATAGTCATTATCACACATCCGAAACAACTAATAAACAACAACAAAGAGAAATATGATATGTAACTTGTAGGATAATTGTAAACAGAAATTTGTTTTGAAGCGAACATTCATCGATTTTGAGGAATTGAATGAACAACGCGTTGTAATTAAAATGTATTTTGAATGGTAATCTTAAGAAACGAGTGAAAATTAATCAAGAATTTAATGCAAAATTCTAGATGAAAAAGATGATTTAGTCAATAAACAGCCGACGGATTTATTCAGAATTCAGCAGCCCGCATCCACATTTCTGCAGCCAGTTGATAGCACATAATCTGAAAAAATCTCACCCTCTCCCCCAATAATGAGTTTCCAGCTCCCTCTGGGGGAATCCCTTTTCTCTCGAGCATTCTCAGGCATATCTCTCCTGCTCCCAGCACTTAGAGCAGCTCTTTCACTCTTGAGGGACCTTTCTGGCACCCGGAAACTTTTCTTCTGCCGAAAGTACCACTTTTCCGACAACTCTCGCGAAGAAGCTTTTCCCTTTATAGAACTTACTATAGCTCTAAGAAGCATTTATGCTACCGGAACAGCAGATGTCATGAAACAAAGCGAGTAATATGCGTGCAATAACAGTGCAGTTGTCGATTCCGGACCACTGGCTCAGACGGGCCGGACCAAGCCAAGATTGGCCTCACTACACTAGGACTTGCTAGGTCATAATTTGTGGGGCAATGAACATTTTTGCATGTCTGAAAGTTGAACATGACTGCCATATTCAAGGCTCAGTTATCACAAAGTACGCTAAGCTCTTCCTTGGAAATTAATCAGTTTATAGGGAATTTAGTTCTCCTCGAGATGAACTTGCATTGTTGACTTTACAATGTTTTGCTATGGCACTTTTTATATTTGAATTGCTTGCAACATTAATATTTCATGTGACTCCTTACTCTTATACCTCAAGGTTTGACAGTTTATTGGGAATGTAATCCTCTTTCGAATAGGTCTCCATTCCTAGGTCAACAAAATATAAGACACTTTCCTGGTTCAATCTTCGATAAGTAGTTTAAAAATTAATGCCTCCCTCTGAACTGCTTCTATATATTCTTTGCTCAGTCAAAGCCACCTGGAGGAGATATGGATATTACGTTGCATAGAAGGAGAATGAGATGCTCAAAGAATCTCCTGAAATATATCATAACGTAAAAGTTTCATGCAGAAATGCACGCTGAAGTGAATACCATTCATATTTTACTATATGAATAGAGCATTCTGTTTGAAAGCAAACTCTTCTGATAATTATTTCAGTTACAACAAAAAAACCTTTAAAAATGTGAAAAATTTGGAACGCTTCACGAATTTGCGTGTCATCCTTGCGCAGGGGCCATGCTAATCTTCTCTGTATTGTTCCAATTTTAGTATATGTTCATCGGAATGAACGATATGAGCAGAAGATAACCTCTTCATGTAAGTACTTCGTAACCTCGAATGCAATGGCAAATGGGTGCAATTAGAGAAAAAGACAGTTTGTATCACACGTTCATATGATCCCTGCTGTGTCTTAATAAGTGAAGATAGCCACTGACATTCTTACTTGATAGGTATTAGGGAGTGGATATATAATTTTCATAAATCTGAGAACCTGTAGAATCCGACAGTGGAGAGAAACATACATGTTTCGTTTTAAACCGAACTTGCAAGAGAACTTTTGACTTCGGAATAAGCAAAGGCGTAAGGGTAGTTTGAAAACACTGATCTTGATGTTGTTAATTCCTTGTATAATGGATGAATGACTTGAAAATGGTGAACACTAACAAGTAAAAAACTTCTGACGACAAGAGAGTGTTATTTTGAAAGGAAACCTCAGCCCAAGCATCTTTCTTCCAAGTTTTTCCTCTCAGGCAAAAGAGAATTCCAAGTACTCCAGTATACATACCAATTGTGATTATTGAACATCACCATTTATCACGTCAAGTGGCATAACTCTCGCAACTTAGAATTTCTGGACCAAGTTCATATCGTCATCCTAGGGTGTTCAATGTCGGCTACAACATGATAGTGACATATTGATATTTATACACCATTCGATTGAGCAGAATCTCGGCTTTCTAAAAATGAAAAGCTTGCTGAGAAAGTCTGCCCCCACGAGGATATATAGCTATTTTTCTGATGCTATAGCGGTTAGCACATTCAAACCTACCGTACCTTCAGCTTTGACCAGTAACATATCAATTTCATCACATCAGTCGATCGAGCAGAATCTCTGCATTCATAATAATATATATTTTGTCGAGCGATATTGCTTAGTTGAGAAGATATAGCTATCTTATTACAGCTAACTCAGCCAGCGCTGAGGTGCTCATTGATATGCATTTGATCACTATAGATCTCACGCGTCCATAACAGCCTCCCGTTTTCCTAACTACTATCTTAAAACCTGGACTAGCCGCCAAAGTTGGATCGAGAAAAAACCACAGGTAGCAGCTACCCGTGGTGAAATTTTGGAAAATTTTCAAAATATTTAGGCCAAATCTAAGCAGCCGCCTGAGATCCAGGCGTCATATTTGAATAGTAGGTAGTACTGTGTATGATCGTCGTCCTGATGTTGTAAACTCGAAAAAAATTTTTTCGAAAATTTTCAAAATTTCAAACCCTCATAACTTGGCTACGGCTAATTATTGAGAGGAGCCGTTGTACACGCGTGCATAACAGACCTCCCTCCCCCCCCCCCTTTTCCTACCTGCTATCTTAAAATCTAGTATAGCCACCAAAGTTGGATCACGAAAAAACCACAGGTAGCTATCTGTGGTGAAATTTTAAAAAATGTTGAAAATATTTTAAGCCATATCTAAGCAGCCGCATGAGATCCAGGCGTCATATTTGAATAGCGGGTAGTACTGTGTATGATCGTTGTCCTACTGCTCTTAGCTCGAGGAATCTTCCGGTGAGCTTTTCAACTTCAGAAAGCAGAGATTCTGCTCAATCGAATGATGTACAAAGATCAATATGTTTCCGAGCAAACTTGAGAAGACGGCTGGCTTGAATGTATCAAACCCATATTTTTGTAGTAATGTATAATATGCATTGATCTATAGTGATCAAATGCATATCAATGAGCACCTCAGCGCTAGTTGAGATAGCTTTAATCAAATAGCTATAGCTCGTCAACTAAGCGAAATCGCCCGACAATATATACATTTTTCTGAATGCAGAGAGTCTGCTCGATCGACTGGTGTGAAGAAATTGATATGTTACTAGTCAAAGCTGAGAGAACGGTAGGTTTGAATGTGCCAACCCATATAGCACCAGAAAAATAGCTATATCTCCTCGCAGAGGCGAAATTTTCCGATGATCTTTTCATTTTTAGGAAGCAGATATTCTGTCCAATCGAACGATGTACAAACATCAATATGTTTCCCGGCACATCTGAGAAGACGGTAGGCTTGAATGTATCAAACCCATGTTTCTACAGTATTGCAATTTCTTCACGCCAATCGATCGAGCAGAATCTCTGGATTCAGAAAGTTATATATGTCGAGCGATATTGCTTAGTTGAGAAGATATAGCTATTTTATTATAGCTATCTCAACTAGCGCTGAGGTGCTTATTGATATGCATTTGATCACTATAGATCAATAGACATTATGCATTACTCTTGATATGCATTTGATCACCATAGATCAATTCATATTATACATTTCTCCAGAAATATAGGTAAGATGCATTCAAGCCTACCGTCTTCTCAGGTTTGCCCTTGATATGCATTTGATCACTATAGGTCAATACATATCATTCAATACAATAGAAATATAGGTTTGATACATTCAAGCCTACCGTCTTCTCAAGTTTGCCCAGTGACATGTAGACTGGTTTCGAATTTTGCCTGTCGAGTGGACACCAATTTCATTTATTTCTTGAACTTTTGTCCTTCAAGTCGAAGAGAAAACCTCTCTTGCTCTCAGAAAATCTGTCACTTCATATACCATGTTTCATTTCCTAGATGTGCGTTACAAAATGATAGATAAATTGCTCGGAAATTGTTCTTGCTGAATGAGTAAGAAATTCACATTTCTTATCGTTAAAGCTGTTAGATATTATAAAATTGCGAGCTCTACCGCTTTATGAGAACCGTCATTCCGTTCGTGCTTGGCAAACTGTTTCTATACCCTTTAATATTCCACTTGCAAAATGCACTTTGAATGTTGCGTACGCATTTCGCCATATGCGCGTGTGGGCAGAAGGAGGGCGGAGTCACGACCGCGTCGCGCGAGGAGAGATAAGCAGGGAACAACCATTAGAGCAAATGAGAGACTAGAACGACATTGAAAGAGGTATAGCGCGGAAGTGAGACTAACAGAGAACAGTGAGTAGAGCTGATGATATACTTGAACGACGTTAAAACATTTATTTATACCGATGGTATATCAGAAAAAGACCGCTTTGAGGGGTGATTCATTGCGAACTGATTGAAGGGGTTGTGACCATTTTGTGGAGAATAAAATCCTCTATCATATGAGCAATCATATTCTGAGAGTGGTCCATTTAAAAAAAACTTGACCGGTCTTAATGTAGAAAATGTTGGGCAAAAATGAAAGATACATTTATGTAGTACCAAAGTTCAGGGTGAAGGCATGATCATTGGCATCATTATATGAAATATTAATTTGAATTTGAATAATTTATTTTCTTGGATTTGTTCAATAATTTGTTGAATTAACTACCTTCTGATTGATAATGAACATACTGGTTCGAAAAAATGTGTTTGAACATGTCCCGCATCGATATTACAAAAATTGTTCGATCCCGGGATCGAAAATCGATCCCGGGATTGAATCCGATCCCGTGATTGAAAAAACGTCGGAATTTTGCAAACCCTACTAGTCCCATGGATTAGTTCGGTCAATTGAAATGGCAATCAACACTAATGCGACAGACAACAGCGACAGTGCCTTCAGGCCGTCATTATTGCTTGCCCGTTTGGCACTTCAGCTGACTGAGGACAATAATGTGACAGATAGCAGTGACAATGCCTTCAAGCCATCATTATCGCTTGCCGTTAGGCATTTAAACGAACTGACAATGAGCATGCTGCTTGGGTACTTTATCCGTTAACTTGTAATTTTTTCACGACTTTTCCACTTCGAAACCCTCATAACTTCCGTAAGTGGTCAGTATTTCGAATCTCAGAATATGATAGTTCATATGATAGGGAATTTTATTTTCTACAGGATAGGTGCAATTTCTCCAATCAGTTCGCAATGAATCACTCCTCAAAACGGTCCTTTTCTGATATGCCATCGGTATAAATTTTGCTCTTTCAAGGGCTCAGTCACTCGTTGACCTGCGATTGCGCACGCTCTTCGCTGACTCCGCCCCCGCGCTCAGACGCGCTTTTATGGCGAAGTGCGACGACGCCCTTTGAATCAGCGTGAGTTAAAATGTCCTGAAGCGATTCGTGTTTGGGAGGTTCGAACAGTGAATTGAGAAGATTCAGGAATAGATTATCGGAGACATTCCTGATTGATATCGTTCGGAACGTTACCTGGATTACCTGGATTGGCTGGGCTATCAAACGTTTGTAACGTTGCTGGCCACAATGCTCGCGTTTCCGTTTGCACTGTTTCAGCCTTGATTTCCGTCCCTCTACCCTCAAGCACCTTGGGAAAGTGTTTGAGGAAAACCCTTACTTGTCTTTGACCTTCAGTATTCAACCATAACATTATGAGTTCTTCTATCCCCGTAAAATGCTCTCTAGTCAATCTCTCATCTTCACAGTTGATTTGTGAAATTGGAAATTGGTTCAAACTGTGAAGTATCAGTTTCCGCTAAAGATTAGTCATATTAGCCCTAATATTGGTCGTATTAGTCATCTTAAAAGTGACGAAATCTTCACGTAATTTAAGTAAGTAATTATAAGTTCAGGGTATAAAACTGCAGCATCGTTATCTGAAGAAATATGGCGAAGTGGGGTGAAGGAGATCCTCGTTGGATTGTTGAGGAACGACCTGATGCTGTGAATGTTAACAACTGGCATTGGTAGGAATCTTCAACAATTTATCATTTAGGTGTAAGCATCCATACTTGAGTTGAAAACCTGTCACAGTCAATTGATCTGTTTATTTTAAGGACTGAAAAGAATGCCACTCCTTGGTCGAAGCTCCGTTTAAAGCAGTTACTGGAGGAGCAAAAAATTGAGAAAGGTCCGATTTTGATCGAATTTGGTGAGTTCAAGAAATTGGATGGTGAGGCTACAGCGAATAATCGTAAAGCGAAACTGATCTTCCTCTTCGAATGGATTATCGAATTGAATTTCAACGGTGGGTTTTTGTTGTTCTCTAGAGATTTATTTCGTCTCATTTATGCGACGCATTTTCTTTTTGTTGACGTTCTGCTTTCGTACAGTTTAACTTCATTAACATTTCAAACCTCAATTAGTTTGGAGTGTTTGTTAATCTCATAGTCTGTGTTTGTGTTCATCTCAACCAGTATTCTTCAATTGTTCGCAGTTGTTTCAGTAAAAGTGGCCGGGTCGGATGTTGAATATAAAGGATATATCGAAATACCGAACTTAAGTGATGAGAACGAAGCAGATGAAGTCGACGTGAGTCGTTTGTTTTTCGATAAACTGGTTTTGCAGTTGGACTTTTCATCTTTCTGTAGAATCTCTCAAATTATTTTCCATAAAAATTGCCGTTGTTCTTTATATTGCATTCATGATGTTGGCCTTAAAAACTAATCCTGAATGTGTAAACAATTCGACAATTGCGTACAGCCAACGGAGCATCCCAATTTTTGAGAGCCGTCGAATTTTCTATTCATTCTGAAAACAAATAACTGTCAGCATGTAATTGGAAGGGATGGAAGTTTTTGGTTCAGAGAAAATGCAACTGTTCCACATGAATTGCACGTATTTATCAGGTAACGTTATCACTGGACAAGTCGGGTCCACATGAAGCAGAAATTCGGCAACTTTTCAATAAGGATGTCACGGAATTTGTTCGCAAACAATTGGCCGTTTACATTCGTGAACTAAAAGAAGAGTTCAGTCAAGGTATTATCCTTCCTACGGATCGTTCGAAGCCTCAAGTGGTGAGTAAGGGAAAAACCACTGTTGTTACAAGCTCAACGTCCGCAAAGGCGGTTGACAAGAAAACTTTCCAAAATCATGTGAGATGGTTGATATTTTATGCTTTATTTCTTGACTTAAATTTTTTAATTTTTCAGTTATGTGATCGATATTTCACCCAAAACTCACATAAAGGGTTTGTGGGCAAATCTTGGATGTGAACTAGATGTGAGATTGTTTATGTATGTCGTGACGGGTTTTTCGTGTGATTGACGAAGTGAAACTTTAGAAGCTAGAACTAGTCTAGTTGTGTTGAACGATATCTGATATGTAATTTCAAATTGATCTAGAAATGCTACTTTTCATGTACTAACATAAGTATTTCACGGATTGATCTCTTGAAAGTTATAGCACATGTTGAAGTTGATTCGTATCTATAGATAGAACATGTTTATGTGCACGCTTATCTTGCATATTCCGTTGATGTATTTTTGAGCGTGAGACTGATTTATTTAGGTTGTTACTTCGGACAAAAGCGGTGCTCCTGCAGTGGATGCGGGTGAGTTTTTGATTTGATGTCATCATCGACTGTAATTTGGTTACGTAATCCTACCTGTCTCCGTTGTCGAGTCTTGATAAAACTAATCCAAATTACCATGTGGAAAAATACCGAGAGTGAGGGCTTTTCATTTTATTGTAGGTGGGAAAATCAGATTTAAACGTGCGTTTGATTAAGAGTACAATTTAAAAATGATACTTTACAGCTGGCGATGTTGATGTGACGTCGATTACATCGTTATCTGAAGAATATAAAATTCAACCCAGTCGACTTTGGGAAGTGCTCACTGAGCCAGAGGTTTCTGGATTATATTTTACTCGTGTCAAGTGGCACTCGCTAACGGTTAATCGTAGGAATGGAATTGAAGCATACCAGCTGGAGTTCTCATACACGTGTATCTGTTTATATTATGCTGTTCATGATGAAGTTCAATATTTTACAGTTGGTAAAGAAATGGTCCGGAACAAGTACACAGTTTGATCTCAGCCCTAATGGCGGATTCTCAATGTTTAATTCAACGGTCACTGGACAGTTCGTTCGTATTGTGAGTCATCGTTATTTTTCATTTGTTTTTGCTTCATTAAGAAAGTTACTTTTGAGGAGATTTTATCGGAAGTTCTGGAGTGAAGCAATGCGGTGATTGATTTTATGGGTGTTCAGTCGAAAGGTTCTTGCTTGTCGGTTGTGAATGATTGAAAGATGAACGTTGAAATGTTTGGAGGAACTGAAAGCGGAAATATTTTAAATGGACCTTTTTTCACATCATCGACAAAGGAGTTCATCTTGGATTTGAATTTATAGGAGCAGAATAAAGAATTGGCTATGAAATGGCGTTTGAAAACGTATCCATCGCAACATTTTGCCAACGTTCGTCTCCTTCTGAAAGACCAGGTACTCTCATTAGAACGATCTACTCGCATTATCAGGTCATCGGAAATGAATTCTGTATCGATCTGCACAGTAGTGTAGTCAAGGAGAGTAGGCGCAGAGGCATGCCACCCCTTCCCTGCAGGGTGGAAGAAAATGGGAAAAGAGGAGCAAAAGGGGACGAGAGATGAAAAGTGAAGAAAAACGAAACGTAGAAAAATCTACCCTGAAATTGAATTTTGGGGTAAATTCTTCAGTTTTCAGACCAGATCATGTTGGCCTCACCTCCCCCCCCCCCCCCCCCCCCCCCCCCCCCCCCCCCAACNCTCCCCCCCATTCCCGCTCCAGAAAGATCCAGGCTGCGTGTGGCAGTTTTCAAGCCGTATGACATTCGTGATTTTTGGACGTTGGTCGCCATGTGAACTGTTCGAGTGGTATGAAATGCTGTAGCATTGATAAATTTTACTTGCTGATGTTTTGTTGAAGGGCGACTGTACAAAACTGGAAATCGAAGCGAATGGTGTACCAAAAATGCAGTGTGATGAAACCGAGAATGGATTACGCAGATTCTATCTTCAGAGTATTAGTAGGACGTTTGGTTTTGGTGCGAATATATTCTGAGAATAACTTCATCAAACTTTTATAATATAATCTCGTAATTGTCTCTGTTATTATCCTGCCTGATTGTTATTCTTATCGTTGTTGTTATCAATTACGTCCACTTTCCATTCATCTTTAAATGAGCTAAACGCTTGAAGATCCGTACAGTCGATTTGTTGATGAATATTTTTTGAGTTTATTTTTAATTTCTGTTACTTCAAACTCATTTTTTCCTTTGCTGTTAATCGTCGCTTGTATTCAGTTTACAGTTTTCCTACCCTCTTTTTAACTTGCAACTTTCATCCTCCTTTCATTCTCTCTAGATAGAGCCTCATAACTCTTCTGAATTCTCCTTTCGTTCTGTCAAAACAATCCGTAGTATTCTTTTTTTGGTCAATTTGTAATGTCGTGGATCTCCTATCCCTTTGAGCGGTGTTGTTGTTGGTGTTGTTAATGTGTTTGTTTCACTATTTTTTGGATGGTGACATGTTCTATTGGAAATATTGTTTCATGAGTAAATTGAATGAATGAAAACATACTTAGTTCATCGAATAATGTTCTTTATATTGATGATTCTATGAAACTACTCTGTTCTCTATTTTGCTTTTGTGATAAAATTGATTTTTCACTATCCTCATTCAAATGCATTGAGTGTATTAGGCGTTTAAAGCAAAATTATATCATCCAAAATTAAGTTTTTGTTGTATTTCTTTTCAAGTTGAAAGTTTTGTTCAGTGGTATTTGAAATGTCCAACATTAGTTGGATGATTTTTAGAGATTAATTATTGAAGTTTGCGCTCACTGATGGAAATGTTTTTGTTAATATTAGCCGTCAAATTCCTAACTGATGCCAACAAAATAGTGGGAAATGTTTTGCTGCTTTGTAAAGTAATTTATAAATGCATTTAGTGAACGCTGAATGTACTCAACGTTTCTAATAAATGTATTTTGACACACTGCTTTTCATATGTCTCATTCCGTGTTGATAATTTTATCAGCTTCGTTTCTGCGATTACTCTGAAAAATATCCGATAGTTGACCAGATAATAATTATCACTACTGCATTGTGAATTAAAGATTACGTGTCGTATCCAATACAAAATCCACTAATAATTACAATAAGATGCGAAGTACAGTGTGTAATTAGTTCTGATCTAACACCACTAAATTAGAGAAGTCTGCCGCAGATATTTGAGCGAACGATTGGTTCGAAATGATTTGCCAGTAGATTTCGTCGTTAGTTCGGTATGACTTGAGTATGAATGATGAATTTCAGGAAAACCAGTTGACGGTGATTGCTATCAGATGAAGCTAAACAATTTCGTTAGTTGTGCTACTGTAGCGAATATTTTAAAAGTAAGGTTTTGAAGAATGTTTATAATTTCTACCTTTTAAGATTATTTTATACCTTTAACAAGAGTTATTCTCATTGGTTGCTTTAAAATTTGGAAAGTGGTTATTTATTACTAAACTGTGAACGAGTGAGACGTTTAGAGCGGTGGTTTCAAAGATGGATATCGCTTAATTGATTGTACGAGTCGAATTGCACCACGTCCGAATCATGAAGAATACAAGAAACTTGTGTATGGAAAATTCGAGCAAATGATGGCTGCAGAAACCAGGTTATCATTATTGAATTTCTTCTTATCTTTCACTGTAGTATAGCCAGCATCATACTATTGATCGGAGATGGACATTAGCGCGCCATTGCCTGTCTGCCGTACTAATAATGATTGTTTTCTTGTTTGAGATGCGAGAAGAGATATTTAGGAGATGAAGGAGAGAGACAGATTACTGAAATCGAGCAAAAGCATCTGAGTGATGATCATCTGAAAATTTTGACATGACGTTTCGGTGCCGCTTAAATAGGGTTAAGCTTAAGATTTCGAAGTGTAACTCTGTTTAGGACACAACGTCGCGTAACCCTGAAAAAAAATCTAATCCCAAGTCAAGAGTAAGATGAATGTCGTATTTACTCGGCTGTCAGATATTAAATCATTTCGAATTCCGAGCAGTTGAAGATCAAAATTTCAGACAAAAGAAAGGCTATTGGAAGAATCATATTCCGTGCGCAGTTCACTTAGATCTGAATACAGCCACGTATCCAAGTGAATACACTTCTTACGCATTTTATCCACCGGAGATTTTCCAACAATACATAAGACTGTTAGGTGTAAATGTTGACGATCAACTGATACTCTATTCGAGAGGTGCCATTGGAGGAATGATGATACCAGCGTGTATTGCATGGATTTTTAAGGTCGTTTCCCTTTTCGTTTTATCAGTTCTTTTTTAGTTTGAATTTTTTCGACAGATTCTTTGTCATTCCTAAAAGATTTACGGTTCAGAGGTAAGTTGAAATGAAATGAAAATGAAAGAGATTCGAATAAGAGGAACATTCAATTTATAGTGTTACGGACACGATCGCGTATCTGTTTTGGATGGTGGTCTTTCTCGTTGGGAGAAGGAAATTGGCGAAGTTACTGACGAATTACCGGTTGTTAAGGTGTCTTCATCATCAAATTCGATAGAAAACTTCGGATAATGTCACTCATTTCTTGTGGCGGTTTGAGCGAATTCATTTAGTTAGTGGTGACATAGGCTGATGAGTAGGAGAACTGCAAATTCTTTTGTTTAAGAAAAAGGGTAAACTTCAGTTTTAGTGTCTTGGATCGTGACATAGCCTGAAGTTGGATATGAATTAGTTAGCATTCCTATTATTTAGCCTGGAAATTGGACAGCATCTGAAATATCTGAAGATCGTTTGGTGAGTTTCGAAGAAATAATGCAGAAAGAATGGCTCAATAAGCTTGATACGGTAAGTTCTTCGAAAATTCTTTCTTGTTTTCACACTGTTTGTCAGTTTCATTTCTTTGTTTTATCCAAATTATTGCAGATCAACTTTCTGGATGCTCGAACAAAAGGTCAATTCGACGGAGTTGAAGCAACGACTCTTGATCATCGTAGTAAGTCATCCACCGATCTCTTCGTTCTCTATGGGCTTTCCACTAGGAATTTATAATGAAAGCGTGCATTCTTAATTGGTAACAGTTACATGTGACCGAAGGATGGAATGAATCTGGAAAAAATCTTGTTCAGTTTCATTCATTTTTCGATTAGTTTTCATCAAACTGCTGTGTGGATAAGGACAATTTGGAATCAAAGAGCTCATTAGTTGATGTTCATTTGGTGCGCATGAAATGAGGGAGTGATGAGAGGTTGATGACGATTTATACTTTTAGAAGTGAAAGGATCACATGTTGCTGGTGTACATAATGTTCCGGCTGTCGACTCGATCACTAAGGAGGGTGTATTGAAGTCAGAAAGTGAACTCAAAAAATGTGAGTGTTCATATGAAAATTAACTGAAAGACTATTTCCAATGTGTCATTTATTCACTTAATAAATTATATCTTACTTAGCTTTCAGTATCTGAATTTTGAAAGGCATGCAATCGTCAATGTGTGACTTTCTCCGGTTTACGCAACAATCAGTTTTTAGGGCTTGAAGAAAATGGTTTCCAAAAGGGCAAACCAATAGTAACAATGTGCAACAAAGGGATTCAAGCCGCAATGCTTGCGTTGATAATGGAGCATGTGGATAAGAGTTCGAGAGCACGCGTCTATATGGGCTCAATGAAGGAGATTGAGTTGAGAGACCCGGAAAAGATCAATGCCGGTCGTATCTACACACCCTAGTGAATCCTCGTTTCTTCGTTCTGTCACCACAGGGCCCGCGATTATTTTTCTTCTATCGTTCCGGAGCATTTTGCTATTTCGATAGATTCTTTCAAGTGCTATACATAATTATTTTCAGAAACTTCAGTTAGTTGATTGCTGTCGAATTGTATTGACTTATCGATTTAACCGACTGATTGGCGTTTAATGGAGGATTGCTGCTATTTATTTACGTATTCAATTTGCATTTACTGAAAGCCGCCTGTTTCTCTTTTTTTTTNTTTTTTTTTCACGTACTCATTTGAATGTTTTCTCATATCAGTCAATCATCCGCTGCGTGCAGTTTCGTCTTGTTATAAATAGTTTTTATAAGAAAGCTATTATATTCGTTTTCTCGATGAAACCTTTGACTTTTTTTAATTATGTTGCTGATGAAAAAGGCGATAGAAGAAGATTTTTCAAAAAAAGATGCGATAGAACGTTTTTTGACTTATTATTGATATTTAATGATCGGTGCCAAGGATGCGTTTTTTCACTTTACTTATGGCGATCGTCTTCTATTTTTCTTGTCAGGATCATACGGGACCTAATCAGCTCAGATTGAAAATAATCATGAAGTCTCCTTAATCAAATGGATGTTGTCTCCTAGTTCACTTTTAAATTAGGAAGCAAAACTAATCATTATTGATTTCGGCTAGTATTTGATAATTTCCTACTATTTTATTGAAAGTGTATCTTTAGACGACAAGAAACTCAAGGAATTGTTTACTGATATAAATACTTGGAATGATGTTGACAACTTTTATTCCTGTTGGATTCTTGTTGCTTTCTTCTCACCGTTTTCACAAAATGTACCGGTTTACTTGATGACATTCGGGTGTTTTTTTTTTAATTCGAACGGTTACTCTCATATTTATTCTAAATCCGTGAAAGTTTATTTAAAATATTATTTTTTTGAATTATATATTGCTGTTTTTAGCACTTCTTCATTTGATGATATGATAGGAATTCAGATGCTGCTTCATTTTGTAAAGTTTGTGAAAGAATTTCCCTTTGTTTTCCTTTGTATTCAAAAAACTTCTTTGGGTATTTCATAATCATTACTTCTGTCGAATATGTTGACCATTGAATTGTTATTCAGTTTTTTGTGCGTTGTTTTCATTTTTTGATGTTATCGAAATTGACTCGAATGTATATTCATTTAGTATTTGTTGATTTGGTATGAGGGAACTAATGATAAATTTATAATATTATCGCTTTGTTTTGGATGAATTTTGATCTTGCATCCATTCAGCTTAACAAATCTATTCTATACGCATCCGCTTGAACAATTGGGAACCTGAAATGAAATGGCAAAATAAAATTTCTTCAACAAAAAGTTGGATTCTGTTAACTACGGCGTAAATTTCACCCTATGAGTCGCTCAGATGCGATGAATTCTGATGAACGATGATCTGAACATTGTTCAGTTTTCACTCTTTCATCAACCACCGAGCCACCTCTTGCTCGTCCAAAAATTTTATTCCCGCATTGCCTTAAGACAGCATTAATAAAATACTTATGTCTCCTCAACTAATCCAAATTGGTCTGTAAAATTTATAATATTCTGCATCTAGAGGTTTTGAATAGAAATAAAAAATAGATGATCGAACGGTGAATAGAAATTCACATGTTTCCGGGCAAATCTGAGAAGACGGTTAGCTCGAAGATTGCAATCAGCGTATTGCTATATGAACGAATTGATTGATCTATAGTGATCAATTTATATGAAAGAGCGCGACTGCGCTATCTCTGTAAAAAGTTCTCCAAGATTTTCAAACTGAGAACAGGATCTAATAGAGCTTTTCGTGCGCTTCAAAACTTATGTATTCCATTTGCCCAGCAGGATTTCCATCATACCGTAACCAAGCCTCGTATGTGCAACTGTCGCTAAATTTCATCAATACTCTCAAATCGGCGAGGTGGTCTCTGGAAAATGTCCTCCAAGATTTTCAAACTGAGAACGGAATCTGAAAGAGCTTTTTATGCGCTTCAAAACGTACATCTTATATTTCCCTAACAAGGTTTCCAGCTGGATAGAATGATGTAAAGAAATTCATATGTTACTGGGCAAACTTGAGAATACGGTAGCCTTGAAGACGGGACCTTTGCACCCAAAATTCCTACTTTGAGCCTAGATCATCAACTGAAATCCTGCGACATAAAACTAACCTTGTTATTTGCTCTCCCTCTCCCCCCCCCCCCCCCCCCCCCCCCCCCCCCCCCTCCCCACCCTCCCACTGCTTCCTCTCAATCGTAAGTAAAGGCGATTCTGTGGATTGTGTGGATTGCTCTGAATGTATTCCTAATTGCGCTGAATATCGAATTTGTCATTTTTTGGACAACTGGAACATCATATCACACTGAAATACAAATGTAAATGTAAAACTAAAATTTATAAACCCAAATAAAGTTGACGTTCACTAACCAACAACAATGAGACGAAACGACGGTGTTACACTCGAGCGTGCAACCAAACAACGCCAATGCCCTATATGTGATCATAATGTTCATCCAAATGCAGATCATGGTTATTCATCAGTTCTAATTGTTAGTATTAGAGTCACGCATAATGCCCGAATGTGTATTTATGGTTAATTTCATTGCGAACAATCATGTCGTCGTCATATGCTGTCAATTACTATTATTATCACAATGATTACTATTGTAATGCGTCGCAACAATCATAATTCACATCCTTTGGTTTCGGTCACTCACAGTTGCACGACGGTAACTCGATGGTAATTTCGCTCGACAACATGCGTTCGAATCATTCATGCAATCATTCGCTTTGTAAAGTGTCGTTTCGTTATCTGACACTTATACAAATGCAAACATCTTCACAAATGTGTGCAAAACAATTTATAGTTCACTTCGTTTGCAAACTCTATGGCACAGTCACTATCGTGGATGTTTGAAGCAAGTGAACTTTCCCGATTCTCAGAGAGTTTTCAGCCATGTTCTCCGCGAAACGGCAATTTAGCGTTATAAACGAATGAAAACTCGTAAGTGTGACCAGTGGAAGCGAACAAATGAATTCAGCCTTTCACGACTGGAATAATGTGAGATGAAATTGTGAATTTGATCAGTGGATAGTGATTGAAGTGAAAGGATGCTTTGATTTTTTGGTTCTTTTTCGTTATGCTGAAAGAAAATTCTGTGTGTTGCACAAATTTTTGTTTGGCTTTCTATAAGTAATGAATCGTTCAGCAAATTCTCATTATGTATCTCTTTATGAGATTTTTTTCGTGGTGATTTTAATCTTTTAATGACTTCTTTTTTGCACTTAACGAATAACATAGCAATTGATAGGTCTTATCGGCACTGATGGTTTTTGCACGAAATTAACTGCAAACACATTAATCGCAGTTGAAGGATTATTATGCGGTGGATACGGTACTTCGTACTGCCTATAAGACGACAATAAAAATGATGATCACAGTAATGACTTCAGCGAGAAATGAAATTCACATCGAATCAAATTGCAGTTAAAAGATCGTTCGCAGTCAATAAAGAGCATAAAAAGTCAACGAGAAGTTTCTTGATGCGCTTATTGGCAATTGTCGAATGTGATGCTCATTAATGGAAATCGAATCAAATTAATTGCGCCTCTCTGATTTCCATTATTCCAGTTAATTCATAAGTTATTTTCCTTTTCATTAGATGCTGCTACTAATCACATATAATGTGATTATGTGTACGTGATCATATTATCTAATGGGTTGCTTGACTGCTGATCGAAGTCGTACTCTTAATTTACTTGATTTGCAAATGCATGATCGATGGTGATCTTTCCCTTGTTCTTAAACGAAACTGTGACGATTACCTGTTTCAACCTACATTCACAGTTCTTCTTCAATAGCGTTTGATAATTTGCGCTTGAAAGAAATGAAATTCGAGTCAAAGAAATTGAAATGCAAAGTTCAATGACTGATTTTTGATTGATTTGATTTTCATGCGTCGTTTATCATTTCGTATCAATTCGTCATATTCCAACGTTCTGGTGACAAATAACAATAAGGAGAGGTTGCCGCACTTTCGTTCGAATTCCGACTGATTCAACGACAGTATTTCTATTGACACTTCATCGGCGAGTTCAACGAACGTCACAACACAGCGACATTCTAATAACAACGATGCCATCAGATAGGAAAATAGTTTTTTGTGCTTTTGAAATGAAAACATAAAACAAAAACATGCATTCAACTGAGAGGAATCAACTGTTTGATGGCAAAACATTTCACTAATAATTCTCATGTTGATATGCAATTTTCTTGTTGACACGAAATAGGACACAATAATAGAACAATAACTTTATCTTTAAAAGTGTACTTTGAAATACGACCGCTCCATCAGGTTTCATCTGTACTTGGCTTTAAAATATTTAGAACAGATAAGTGATACAAGCAAATAGAATTTCAGTGATTAGGTATGAAAGCATCATAAGATGCACGAATGAAATAATCTGATTTGACGTGATCAGTTTGTGTTGACATCAAAAGCATATATGACTCAATTATCGTCTCTGAGGATGGTTCTGGACTGCAGAGGAAATCTGATTAAGATTCAGCGTTTTTCAAAAATGTTGGAAACTATCTTATTACTGCAATATAGTGATCACTAGCCTTTAAAACTGATAAGCTTAGAAGAGTCTGAAGCAATCCAACAATCTCATCACATTTTCTGATCACATCAACCATAGAAACTAATTTACAATCTTGATTTTTATTACGATTGTGTTATGTAACGAATGCTTAAAGTTGAATTCTTCCGTTGGTTCCCTTGTCAACTTTTCATTTTATACGGATGGATAAGCAGACCGATTGAACATGAGAAGTATGTTACATGAATTCGAATATGTCGTGAATTGAAAAAAAACAAAAAATAGACATTATTATGTTCTGAAATGATGGCTTGAATGACTGACTCATTGGACTAAAAGATTAAACGATGAGTCATTGTTGAATATATTTTTCTGGCCATCATAAAAATCTGATAAAAGCAGCTCAACGAGTGGCAATCAATTTTTTTCGCCGCAAAACTTCGCAATAATTTTACGTCATCGAACGAAGTGCCCTTTAGGGTACCATAAGTGCAGATAAGACGCAAATGTAATGGAAATTCGAAGAATATACTGCAAATCAGTCAGCCGATCACAGAAACACTTCAAATTTTAATGGAAATTCATTTGATTTGCCGTTTAGCGCTCATTTTGTTCAGAAATTTTTCTAGTGCCATGAAGTTTGCTTGTCACCCAAAAAGTACTTCAGAATGATTGCTGATGATCATTTCATGAAAATTTTTTGTGACGTTAAAAAAATTCGGCTTCTCGCCGAAAAAGTGCCTCGATGAAATCGTCAATTATCACTGATTTTATGAAATTCATGTGAACGTAGAAATTATCGTCGTCATCATCAGCAAATGACTTCATCACGCATTTGCGATGTGCTAACAGCGTCGTTTTGTTGTTATAACAACAGAAAAATCATTTGGGAAGTAAATAAAAAAGCATCAGAAAATAAGAAATCATCTATCTCGCAGTTAATGCATTTCCACGAAGTTTTTTTCACAGTTACCATACAATATAATATTACAGCGCTCGCCACCGAACGAAAACGCAAACAAAAAGTGATCGCATTCAAATGTACACCAATGATTACACATAATTGCTAAACAATTGAAGGTTAACCAAAATGTGTACGAAAAAAAGAGTGAAAAGAAAACGGAGATTCTGCAATTCGATTTCATACGAAGCGTTGAAAATAAGACGATTTTAATGACGATGAATGACGATCATTCGAAAATGATTGACATTAATTGCTGTTTATTAATTCATCAACGCATGAGTGAACCAATCAAATTAAATGATGTGTTCAGTTTTAATTTTGGAAATTACTCTATGAAATATATTAATTGAAAGACGAAAACGTTTTTGAAACATAAAAAAGCATTAATCGAGCTCGTTTTTAAACTGTGCGTAAGTATACTTCCCCCAAACTATCAAATTGAATCGTTAAAATGTTTCTCAAGTACAGTTTCGATTATTACGATGTAAATATTTACGATGCAAATAGACGTCCATAACAATATTCCAGATCGATATTTGCGGTTGACTTCCTTTGTTGTGATGTACTTTTGCGATTGCGGTTTTTTCATTTGGAACGAGCCGAAAAGAGAAGTCGAATTTAATCATTCCTAAAACAGTAACTTGTCGGTTAGAAAAGCCAAAGCTTGACCTCATTATTTTATGCTTCGAGTGGAGTAAGGAATGCATCCGATTAATTTTTAGGTTTCTTGAAATTTGAATTTTTTTCCTGTTCAAGTTACAATTTTCAGGTGTAATCAACAATTTCAAATGAAGAAAGTTTAAGCAATTAACAACTTGACTGGAGTTATGTGAACGATAACATTATCAGCATTTGAGTATTTCAGCGGTGTTTCTGACTGCAATCGGTTGGTTTAACGAAGGCATAAAACTCTTGCAAGCAACCTCTCTTCATTTTCCTTTACTCTAAACTGAGTTTCTCGTTTGAGATGGTGAAGATTGTTTTAATTGTCACAAACACCTGTGCGTTATCAGTCACGTCCTTGTGTTAGCCTTAATGCGCAGGCAGCTCTTTGATATGATAATGGTTTTTTATGCAGTCTGTAAACTCTTCTGGATAACTGATCGAATATCAAAAACGCCAACGCACTCCGAGAATGCCTTCCTAATTGCCAGCAAAAATTTGAGTTTTATTGAATGAATTTCGTAGCGCTATCAGAAACGGTTTACCAACGGAGATAATGGGTGAGCTGCTGCGAGACTACTATGAAAACCCTTCGAAGAGGGTAATTTCTACTTAGGTTGCAGCAAATCATTTCAGGGTTTGTTCCAACCTTCCTCCTACCAGACGGAATTTTGGAACGACAGAATGCGCTAGATTCAAGAACACGATCCTCATAAAACTGTGAATAAAAACAATTTATCGCATAAAACTATCAATACAAAATATTTCAATTTCTTTTCATACTGCAATCAGCAATTAAGCAGATAAACGCATAATACTATCACAAAACAAAACAAATCAACAATGCGATCAAATTCCAATTTAAAAATCGTCAGTATCTCTTCTCGATCCTTCTCCTTACGCCATGTTTTCGACAATTTTGAATGTGATACCGAAATTGGCCAGTCTTTCGTAGATACCAGTCTTCTTGAATGCTTCAGCAGTTGTGAAAGCGCCACCACTGAAATTAACTTCAAGTACCGACTTATTTTGAAAGACTATATCAGGCGAGTAACAACTGGAAGATGCCCGATTGAATTCCCGTCTGCCAGCGACAGTTTTGTTCATTGATGAGTCGTAAATCAACTAACTGCAAAAATATTTCAATAGCCACGCTAGTTTAACTAAAACATATTTTTTGTCGAACACTAAATTTAAACAATAAATTGGCAATTTTAATTTTCAAACACTGTTTTTCAAAGCTTGAACAAATAATGCATTATCAACTTTAATGAATGATCAGTCTATTTGTTCTTCTACCGACTCTGATTCGAACTGCCACATGCTTTAAAATTGTCAACGCGCTCTCACAGCTACTGATAAATTATGCATACGTCAGTCAGATCAATCTATAGTTCCAATTCACCGCCTTTTCTCAACTATGCCTTCGTTACCACACGCAATCGTTATTCTGTACGGATGGCTTGTTTTATTATCGCAGAGAATGGGAAACCGACGAAATCGTATTGAAGAGTGCTCATTCAAATTGATCTCTGATGTTGATATCATGTGAATATTACTCGTACTATTACAATGTATGAATACGATGACACAAGGACAATTCTCCCACCCATCAATACAATTGTTTATTCATGCATCCTTTGTGATGAATACCATGTAAAAACGATGAATGATAAATATGAATTTGGAAAAATATAAGTGCTATGTGGGCGCATGTTGAACGTGTTTTATATTCCGCTGAATGAATAATCTTATGCGACAACGATATGATGACCTTGATGAAATATTAGGCAAAAGGGAAATTACATTACTAATAACTTCTGATCAAATCATTACGAGCACACCTGCTTGATTTCTCGTTTATAATCATCAGCATATGATGTCATCAATGCCATGGTATATTTGGTTGTTCTTTAAGTGGTTTTGAAGGATAAACAAAAAAGGAAATTCATTATTCATTGAGGATTTATCCTTTTGATTTGGTGTAAACAACATTTGATAAAATTGAGCGACCTTCACCAGAATTTATTTGGTTAAGGTTATGAAAAACTGATAGACGAATAACGATCGTTTGATCTCGTGAACTGTTATCAAATTGTTCGTTTGTGATTTATTTTATTAGTGCGGCATTCATTGGTGATATTTTCGAAGATGTCAATGCTGGGTTAGACATTCAACGGAATGATACTTACTTGATGGAGTTAGGTTGGATTTTTGGTAATATGACATTTATCGTTTCAAAATGAAATAATACTCTGATTTGGGTAAAAGCGTAAATTAATGCATAGATGGCCTGAGCTGTGGTCATTATAACACACACTTTCATGAAATTTAAGTGCGCATTCCGATGAACACATGAAATTTGGTTGTGCCCAGTTAAATGTGAACGTGAAAATTTGTTCGCAAAAACAAACCCGCTCGGCATTTTATCCGCATCTTTTAGAACCGTTAGTGCCGACGAGATTATACATGCAGAAGTTGCTATGTAGCCAGCATCAGGTCCATCACAACGTACAGTCACCTTCAAACAACACAAACTACAAGTGAAATATTTTGAAAGAGTTCAAGAAGGATGGGTGAACCTCAACAGGAAGCGAATTTTGAGATGCATTTTAGAATTCTCATTTATAGGTGCCCCTCTTTGAACGCGCATTTAGAATAGACGAAATTTTTTTGCAGTCTTCACAAATTCTTCCATGCTCAACCCAGAAACGATAGAAAATCCACCGAAAAACAATCTAAAAAGGCGAAATGGTAAAGCATTTTTATTTGAATTTTGATTTTTCTCAAATTTTCCCACCATAACTTTACTTAAATTTTATGTCTATAGGTCGGTCCCTCATTTATTTGGAAGGAGTGTTTAGTGTGCACTGAAGTGTGGCTCATGAAGAACGCATAGATAAGTCGATTACTCTTACAGTTTCATCTAGATATATAATTATTTATTCATAAAGATTCAAATTTCTGAGAATAATTCTATGCCATCTTTAAAACTTATGCATTCAACCATTCGATCAAATAAATATTCATATATATGAGCATTTTAAGTCATAAATATCAGCCGGGATGGTGCTCGTAACGATACAAATTTGGCACGAAATATAGCGCACTTCGCAAAAGTATTTTTATACGTAATCGATTAGATGGGAAATCGTTACGATAGCGCAGTGTATAATTTTCATGAACTTCACGTGAATATTTTCGTTTTTGCATAAATTCAAAAACATTTTGCTTGCGTTGAGAAATGCAATCAGTTATAATTTGCTTGAAAGTGTCTGCAATCGAGTCAGTTAAGGGCAAATCCTTTGTGATCATTCAAAGTTCCTCTCAACCGAACGTAAATGTGCACAAATTTCCATTAATTGCTGTATTTGAAGTTGAATTTGCTCAGGAACCTGAATTTGCGAACCTTTTTGTTTGGAGGTGTGGAGTGTTGTTCACCAGGTGGCAGTTTATCGTCCCATCCCTCGCCAAAGAGCCAATACGTGAACGAAGCTTGCTCTATCTGCAAATTTTTAGAGAGTTATTAATTTCTTTACGATTAGCTCACAAACAACTAAATTGATCCAAAACTAATGAAATATTAGTCGAAAATTTATGATCTTCTAAAGTAAGCTCAACTGAAAACAAATTGTAAAAGTTATCAGGTAACAAAGGTGAAAATTTTCTGCAATAGATCACTACAAAATATCGTTGAACTCTTGAAGATTCGATAACTGAGCCGAAATTTTCATCGTTTTTCGAAAAAAATTATTTTTCATGCATGCTTATTCTTTGCCTATTATGTGACGAATTTTAAGGCCAGTAATAAATTCATGGCAAAACAAATTGTATTTTTTGCTAAGTAAATGGAATGGAAATTCATTTAGTTTCTCAGCTAAAAAGAAACAAAAACGTGAATTCGTTCTCATTCTGTACTTCGTTTCTTCATCTCAAAACTAGGTGAACGCTTCGAGCCGTATTAAAATGAATCGAATCGAATGAGTTTTAGTAGGCCATAAAAGAAATTGAGGGCTAGTCGTGCAAATTCGTATTATCGGCTCTACATAGCACCATATCCGATTATGGATTTGAACGACGAATGCAAAAATATTTGCCGAAAACGGAACATTTTCGGCGATTCACCCAGCATAGTTCAATTCATTTGTCTTTTTTGCATTCCAAATTATTCACTCGAATTTGACAATAATATTTTCACGATATGAAACTGACTCTCAGAAAGCACTCTCACCGTATAACATCAACTATTACGATAGTTCGAGTGTAGCAAACGAACGAGTTTCAACTTAATCAAATCATTCACTGTGATTGTTATGAAGTAATCTGACGAAGTAGTAAGTAAAGTATCAATCCGTTGATTTGTTCTTCAAGTATTGTGCACATTGCTGATGTGATTTACCGCATGTACATAAAAAGTGTATGAATAAACAGGTCGTTATTGGTGCTGTGATTGATTCTGTTCTTGATTCAGCTTGACTCCAAACGGATCAGTGAAATTAATTGTGGATGGCTGTTTTGCATAGTTGATTTATGGTATTTGTTCATTGATTTACATTCACTCACACAGAGCAGAAGTTTTCGATAATTTACGATTGGCATTTGGTAGTGCAATGCCTGCTACATCACCGAGCGCATGAAAATTGATCTTGTCGGTGTGTCTGTTAACCACACAATTCACACGTAAAAATGACGGTGAATAACCTGTTGTTCAGTTGGTCCCGACGCTTTGAACATGTTAAAACTGCACAGATCGGGATGTTTTTGAAGGAATTTTCGCGTAGCCTCGAAATTCACCAACACAAAGAAAACGGCAAGCCAGAGAGCCAACAGAACACTCCATAGCAGTGATTTGACAACGAAATACGTTTCAATATAAGCCTGCAATTAACAGTCAACAATACTTGTTCACAAAATTTCGAATTATTTACTTGAGGAATGCATAAAACATTCGTTGTGTCCATTGAGAAGGTTGTTGTATCAAAACTAATAGAATCAAAAACAAATTGATTTTGCGAGCAGGTGTTCAGTGATCGTTAAGTGAGCCAAGAGACGGTTATGAAATATGCGAAAAGATATGAATTGCTCTCAGAAATAGTGCTTTCATCAATGTTGAATATACATCTTCAGTGTAATTAATATCAATCTTCTCTTCAGATCTTCAGAAAAGCAAACAATTTGAGATGCTGGCAGATCACGTGATGTATAATGCATCAGTCTGTGACATTTGTGCAAACTGTAAACTAACACGATATTACACAACAACTCCGAAACGTATTTGAGGTGTTTGCTCATTTTTGAGAGTTCAATTGAAATTTTTTTGTTGAGTCCATTAATCAACAACAGTTTAATGAATACTCGTATTCGTGGTTGTGCTGTAAACGTATTTATGCTGAACCAATGATTAAATGCTTTGCTAAATCACTGAGTAGTAATCTTCGCTAAAAACAAAATCCCTTCGCATTTCCAAACGACTTCTGAACTCGAATAGCGAATGCTTTTGGTAGATGTCAAAAATGGTTGCTCATCTCTTCATAGCTTCAACTGAATGCTTATTACATCATAAATTCAGTTGAGTGTTCTCATTATCAAAGTAAAATCCGATCGATCGCAAATGCAACTGAAATTAACCGACAAATAAATAAAAATTTCAATCTCAATTGAATGGGCAAGCAAATGGAACCGTTTAACTTCGACTATGTCAAACTCAAGGCAATTTTACTGTTTCCTTACTAAATACTGTCATGAAAGTAGGTTGTGACAGGCGAGTTCATTCGCGGTAAACAATTATTTTGAAAATGCTTCGCATTGTAAGTGGATGATATCAGTTGAGTGCAATGAACGATATTGTTATCGATCATTTTATATCCTTTCATATTCCTCACTCATCATATGCAGCAGCGAATAACTGTGTGATTATTATGTTCCATGCAACAATTTTATAAACTTGATAAAATAAAAATATGAGGTTAAATTTTGCCTTGAATAAGACAGACACATGACCGATGGGAAATGCAGCAAATGTGAGGAGTGCAAAAAGGGAAATTAATCTCATTTTGCAAAAATTTTAAACTTTTAGTATGATCTATGAAAATTGGTGCATTGAAAGATGTTGTAATTGCGATTCGGCTTGTTTGCTCTCAAATGCATTATCCGTTTGAATTGAATCGACTCTACACACCAACAACTCCCTTTCTCTCGCTGTAATAGAAGCAAGTCAGCGATCAAACGCAATCCGTAAAGCAAACAACAAACCGACCAAAAACATTCCTTTTGAAAAATCATCGATCGCTTTGAGAGGAGAACAGCAATGACTCGAACCATGAATAGTCAAAATGAGATCATTTGTTTGCCAAAAAAGAGAATGTATTCATTCATTCCCGAAACCATTCACATAGCACCGTTCACTTATTGACGTAAACTCAACTGAACCTCATAAAGGAGAGTTATTTATTGTGAAATTCCGAAAAATCAGCAGAATGATACTGAATCTTTTGCAGCATATCTGCTAACAACGTTATAATTATCCAATTCGTCGAGCCAACCTGCTCGATTTCTATCAATTAATATCAGTGCACAAATGTGATCGTTTCACTCACGTAGTGCTTTGTTTTACACAGCTGCAAAATTACTCGATACACTGCGTGCACATGGCTGAACAACTTCGCTGACGCAGTCTGAATCTGCTGTTTTTGGTTGGAAGATTGAGATTTTATGTGTTATTACTGGAAGCGTCACATATTGCTTGAATGCGCCCCTCTCCTCCATTGAAAACAATTAAAAGCATTCGTATGCATACAAGTAATAGTGACACAACAAAATATCAAAAGCAGCTATGTGCAAATGCGATAGAATGATTCGATGTTATTGTGTTAAATGAGGTGTAGTCGAGATGTGTTCATGAAAAAAATTCGTGTTATTGACAACGAATTTGGTGAAAAATATTTCGAAACGTTCCATTCTTTGACCACAAACTGAATCGTTTTTTTGCACGTTTTATGTGATTATTTCAAAATTACCTTTCGATAACGCTCTAAAAAGTTAATGAGGATATCCTCTAAATCCCATTGCTAGGATATGAAATGTTGTTATTACTGATGCCATTCACCATGACTCTTCCACACATCCCCAACGAATATCCCCGAAAGATTTTCAACATCATTGAAAATGTGTAACGTGCAAAGCAACAACTTGTGTCGACTGACTGCAATCGGACGTCAAAAAACAGGAAATGTAATCACCTCTGAATTTTCGGTTAATAAACTAAACGCAAAAGAAATCTGACGGATAATTGTGTGAGCATGCGTTTCGCATTACTTTTATCAACTGATTGATCTCACTTCAACTACGTATAATTTGCGTGCAACTAGGAAAACATTTCCTTGCTTTGATATTTCGGCTGCAAACCAGCTCGGTTCAGCGTTGGAGCAGAATTAAACGTGTTTAAACCATGAGCAATATCCGAAAAAATATTCTCCGAACAAGGATCTGCGAAGTATAAAATCTTAAACTGGTAATGTTAACAACATGATGATAATTGATAACGCGAATCGGATCAATCAACTGAGACGATCGGATCGATCTATCGATAAGATTTTGCGAAATGGATGGATCAATGAAAATTTGATGTAAATATCATTCGCTTCAATGTTTTCAGTTGTGCAGATTCGATGCAACGAGGAGGATTATGAACTGGCGATGATTATTGACGAAACGTTTGCAGTGGTGCTGACAAAGAACAATCATTATTGTGATTGTCATTTTGTTCGGAAAATGGTCATAAAAAAGACCGGTTCCATTCAGAAGGACATTCAGTGACGTAGATGATGAATCGCTTATTGTCGCATAACAAGAATGAAGAAATATGAGGAGAATACCATTGAAATGAGCACAAGAATGAGAGAATATGGAAAAAAGCGCTTGAAAATGCTGATAATGATGACGATAGTGAGTATTAAATATAAATTTATTTTTATCAACAACATTATTTTCAGAGTTGTTCCGTTCCGTTCATTCTTTACTAAAATCAATCAGCGGCAGGAATTAATGAAGCAATGATACGTGATAGAGGATGGCTTTTTTCGCATTATTAAATGATCTGTCGATTCTCCACCAACTAATCATCACAAATAAAGTGGAGCCATAAAACAATAAAATTCTCGCAAGTATCAAGTCAATTGATTTTCAAAAGTCATAAAATGCCATTTGATGTTTCATGACGACGACTGCTGATTTGTGAATGATTATATTTCGTAAAGTGTTTCTTTAGGATACGACTAAACACTTAATTTTATCGCTACAAACACTTCACTTACTGTAATTTATGACAAAGAAAATAACATTTTAACGTCGCCATCTGAATTAGGGCACTAATTTTGAAAATTTTCCCTCTTCAATGATTATTTACAAAATGATCAATGGTTTGAGTGTGTGATGTGTGATCATCGATTCAAATTTATTTTCTGAAGATGACAAAGTTACAGTATGTTTTGAATAGTAAATAAGCCAACCCTAGCATGTTATATGATCAAACCTCATTATTGTTTCCAAACGAGCAATTCTTGAAAAGAACCACGTTTCAGAATTATAAGTGATACGAAGTGATAAGAAGGTTCCATATAAACACCACATTACTGTCAACTCTAAGTGCACGACTTATTTATCTTAAATATCACGTTAGTGAATCGCTCAAATCTGAAAACGCCAACGAAAAATATCAGCAGAAAACATCAAAACGTTTGTTGGCCGTGAAAACTTATTTCATCAGAGGAAATGAAGAAAGTTTAGAGGAGATTTTTATCAACGAAAACGAAATCATTGATGATTTCATTTTTCATTCTTTCACAAAAGACCGGAAAGGTTTTCGTTGATGCAGAAACATCTTTGATTTTCACCGCATGGAAAAACTTCAAATGTCGTTTGTTTTGTTGAAAGCGGCCGATCACTTTGGATCGCTTCCATTGAACTTTCTTAAATTTTCTTCGCGTCCCTTCTCCGTTTGAATTTCCGTATTGCACTTATAATAAATCATAAGAAAGTCCCTTGCGTTGAACGTAAACGTATTTGAGAATGATTCTTCTGCTTTCGTTGACACCGTAATCAGTGATTGAAAAATGAATGGTTTCGATGCTGAGTTGAACGACTTTTTAGTTCTCGAACACAGTTTTAAACGTCAGAGCTATACGTGCTTATACAGAATGGAAACTTTCTCCTCTCGCCAACTCACTGAAGAGTTTTTTAACCTCACTCATCACCGATCAGATCCTCTTCCTTATGACATGTCGTCTTTTACTTCGGCTTTTTTGCTTGTGCGCTTCACTGAATGTAGCATATGAAAGCAACTTTGTGTTACATATGAATGATGTCTGCATGATGCTCCACTGAATTTATGAGCTGCCTCTCTATCGCGTTTCTAATTTTGAATCAAATTTCAATGCGTCATGCCACACACAAAACCATTCATTTGACAAAATGAAAGCTTTCTGAGTTTCACGACTGAAAAGAAGACCTGTATAAAATATGACATGCATTAAAAATGAAACAGCATCCAATGACGATTCAAGTGTTCGGCTGTGCTTTGCTTCGTTCGTGTTAGAGATTTGTTTTGTTCAACTTTTATCGAAATTTCCTGCAATCCCAACCACCAACAGTCTCACATTGCTGCAGCTTCCTAAACCAAAAAAAGGCTTCCTAAACCGCTTCAATATGAATGGTTGGCATGAACACATCCATAGATGAATAACAGTCGCGTAGGCTCCTAAACATAAAATTGATTGTCATTCATTCAAATGCAAATATCACTGTTATTACCGCTATATGGCTTGATAATGCTGATTGATAAACACCTGAAAGCGTAAATTCAATCTCCTATAAAAGTAAAATATGCTTAACGCCAAGCAAAATCATTACATATGCATTCTTATTCACAAAGCAAGAAGGTCGTATATATAATGAACATCATATGGTAATTTTGTGATATTCAAATAAATTCGAATTCCAGTCGACCCTTAGAAAGCTGAATGCTCTTGACATTTTGAGGACAGATGCTTTCAGGTTTTAAATTCCGCGCTAGTTCTAACGAAAATAAATTTGTTTTTTTATAGTCATGCTATCCAGTCGATTGCCAGAAGAGTGAGACCGTAAATGTTGACGAAATCAGATTGTTCTGATAACGATGGAAAACCATATTTTTCGGTTTTAATTTCAATTCATCGATAAGAAAGACTCATAATTATTGAATTCGTTCAATTTAATAAATGGTATTTTCATGGATCAAGACAAAGTGCATTCTATCATATTTGGGCAAACAACTGGGAAAGGTTAGATGAGAAACTGAGAATAATGGACAGAGAATGAGTGACGGGGCCGGGAGGAGAAAGGGGAGTGCAGTGGCTGATTACACCAAGACATCCCGTTGATTGAGAATAAGAACGGTCGAATCGGATCGATGATCTCACGATGGTTTATATCAAAACTATGATTATGCAAATATAATCTGATGCATCAGATATGTTCACATTTGTGCCCATAGAGAAATGAATAACAATTTTATGATCTGTGCTATTCGAAGCCAAATAATTCGTCGCAGATTGATAACAGAAATGATATCGCAGTTGGGCACTTTTTGTGCATGAGTGAATATTTGCATTATTTTTGCTTTACTATTCATATTATTATTATTATTAACATTATCACCTATATCATAATGATAGCATTACTATTATGATCATGTATACTTAAATTGTCAGTTTTACCGCTTAAATAATCACTTTTGTAATTGACATTATAACTGAATCAACAGTGTTATTTCTTGAGCTGATCGAATCAAATGAGTATAAGAAATGGCTCCTATCCTGCCTTTGTGCCATAATCCTCGCTTAGATTCAGTTTCCATCCTCAACATTCTTATCTATTACTACTGCACTTAATCCTCGCCTTATTCTCACTCAGTCAGGTATTCGATCGAGAACCGACTAACTTCTCATTCAAACTTTAACATAGCACTTCACACTGCATCATCCAACCGATTCGAGATGTCAGTATGCATTTTCAATTTTCGAAAGATCACAATCATTAAGTTTGTTTGTATAGAAGCGTAAAAGTGCGGATAGAATTTGGCTGATTGATAGGTGCACTGAAAGTGATGTGCATTCTTTCATTCAACGAACGAAAACGATGAAAATAAATAAATATTCAGCAAACATCAAACTGCATTAAGTTCAAATATAAATAAATGCCCTAGAGCACAAAATGAAATGCTGAACCAACGTAGTCTTGCTGATCTTAACAAGCAAACACAATGATCGATTACATAGTTGTCAAATGATCAGTCAAGAAGAGTGTGATCTGATCGTGATCAATACGCAGAATTTTGAGAGTGGATTTCCGATCAAGAAATGTCGAGGGTGTGAAGACTTGATGAGTACGATTTTCTCACATGGAATCGTCTTCCTGAGTTTCTGAAGAGAATTCGAACGATTTGAAAGAAATTCAATGATCAGTTTGCTGAGAAATCTTGACGAAATTTCCTGCTATATTTTCGGCTACTTCCTTCATTCATCCGGAAAAGAACAGCTAAAATGTCGCCAATGACTACCAGAAATGTTCATGCAATCCAAAAATCTTCTCGTTCGCTCTCTAAACACCCCTCGAAAATGCTCAACTACACATCCCCTTCGTTCTTCTCACTTGCCAATGCGAGAGAATAACGTGTGCACACCAACGATCATCAAGTATCGCGTGACATTTTTTGTGCTCCCTTCTCAACGCTTTTGCTAGATGCACTCTGATTCTTATCGTATCTCCATTCTCAACACTAATTTCTCAAAATTCTCTGCTAATCTCTCTGCACACTCCTCATTCTGTATTTTATTTCCATACGACTCTTTTCGGTTCACCACACTCAAAGGGAACTATTGTTAGACGGGGTCTTACTAATTCCTCCACATTCTCGATCGTTCTCTTTCGAATCACACTTGTTTATCTCGCCATCAACTTCCCAAATAATTTCAGTTTCTTTCTAATGAGCCACTCTCAAGATCCCGTGCTATCCTCGAAAAGGAAGACTAAAATGAGAAATGACTGATCGGGGTATACCTTTTTCTTATAGATGAGGTTTTAGCCATTATTACGGGCATTCCTCTCATCTCCAATTTCTTCTGTGCGGTATATTTGTTTGTTTGCCGAAGCGTCAGGGTGATAAATTGATGTGTGAGATATTCATCTGCGCAAGTGAATTCAGATCAAATAATGGACAGAGAGGGTGCCGTTTGATTGAGAAGACAGATGCAGTACGGTTTTTTGTTGCTTTCAGCAATACACTCAACTAACTCTTAACCCATTTCTTATAGCAGCAGTTCAAACAAAGCGATAGTGTATCCGAAATCTCATCAACCCTTCAATTCTCTTAGCCATTTGGCATATGGCATTTGTCTCTCGTTGACCTTCAGTGTTCCATTGTTCGAAGATGTCAACGATAAAAAACAACAACAATGACAACGCATAAAACCACAAACAAAGCTATTGAATATTATTTGTTCATAACATTACCCTATAGTGTGAATAATGGAACAAAGGAAGAGTATATTATTACATTCTGAATTATGAAAATTTACCCTATATGCATTGTGTTTTAAACAGTGTAATAATGTGCTTTCAAACATGTATACGTAGATCGATGGTTGTGAAGATAAGAGAATGGATAATCGTAGTTGTGAGAGCGAGTTATAAATGAGAGCGAAACGCGGACTCTCATCGATTAGATGTTATCGAAAAAATGTAAAAATAAGTGAGATTAGCTGATAATGATCGACGTTCCAAAGTCAATATGATCGGATTATTCTTCTAGTGGAAAGACTCCTCAAGTTCTCTGGAGAAAATTATGGCTTTGTTCCACTCCATAAAGAAACAGTTTATGCGATGGAACAATCTGTGATGACCAAGTCCAAGAAAGATTCAGTTTGAAAATTTCATGTTGCATTACCAACGTAGTGCTAACATTATCGTTTGGTTGCATTTGACACTGAAGAGTCAAGCAAAAATGTGGAAAGCATTAGAGTTGCTGCGTGGAACATTCGACTGCACCGCAAACATCGCTCAGTCTTATCGCTAGTAATCACAAATATCGAACGATCAAATTGTGCTATTTCGTTCATCGCTAAATCCATAACAACGCCTGAATTGGATGATCATTCAGCGAGTTTCATTAGAATTGACTGATGAAACGAATGAGGAAAGAAGAACTTAGTGTATGAAGAATGAAGTAAGTAAGCGCTCTCAGTTCGTTGATATGTGCAGATAAGAGAATATATAGCGAAGAGAATAACGATTGCAAACACAAAAAAATTTCGCTCTTCGAAGTTGCGATAAACTGCAGAAGAATTAGCGAGTAATTTTTCACAGAATAATGAGAAAATGAACAGAATATTCAGAAAATCTGTAAGGAGTAATCCTGATGCAAGTTCAGAATAATTCAACTGGAACAAATCGTTTTTCACTTACTGGTGGTTCTTTTTCGAGTGTATAGTCGAAGTACTGCGAACGAGAAACGATACTTTTATCAGAGCCAAGGAATGGCATGCACCAGCCATTTATTTTCTCATTGAACCATAGTTTGCCTCTAGAATTTTCAAAATTTTTGCACTTTCCAAGAAAAAGTCTCCTTCAAATGAAGAAATTCATTGATTCTCATAAATATTCCCAGTGATTTACATGAACGTTCTGTGAAACTTGTGATAGAAATGTTCGGTTGATTATCATCTTTAAAAATCGATGTCTGTTTCGTTTGAGAATTATGCACTGCAAATTGCTCAATAATTTTAGCCTCCTTTAACTGTGAAATGTTTTCGAAACAGTATTAATGATAACAAATGACGACATCATCAAATTTTAGTTATCAATAATTCCAGTCACAACCACTGATAATATTTCATACCCTACATGCCGATGAAATTCATATATTGATAGTGATCTTAAAGTAAACTGATAAGTAATGAATGCTAAAAGAAATGAAGCACAAACCAACTACGAAGTAACTGCTTAGCAATGTGTCAATCAGCGTAAAATTACACACCAAAAATGCTACTCTTTTATGAATTCAATCAATGCAATAATAATAAGTAAAGATTTTTTTAAATGTTATCTGCGAATTGCAATGAACAAAATGTTTGAATTCTTCAATGCAACTCATTTTTGTGTCAGTTGCAACTGTTGATGAGATTCGTGAACCGTGAACTGTCATGGCGTTCAACCACAAAAGAAACTTCTACACAATACGCGAAATTCAATCAAAGATTAACCATATAAAGATCGAAAAATTGCATGCAGTGTGGTGTTGACAATAGTAGAAAATGATAGTTTAAATGCTAAAAATCAACTACCTCAGTGATGATTTGACTATGAAGATGGAACTGAAAATCAAAATTTTTGCGAAAAAAAANCAAACGTTTAGGCATGAGTACTGTAAAAGTTGTGCTCACTGCTGCATCATTACCGTACTATTACCCCATATCGCATGCAAATTGTGTGCCGTTTTCATGCGACCATCAACATTCTCATTCCTTTTTTAAAGTGCTCATCATAATGGAGCCACAACAAGCAGCGTTTTGAAGAAAACATACAATCAGTGCATTTGATCGGAATTTGAAGTATGGATGGAGATTGGTTATTGAAAGGAGGGAGATAGATGTCAGTCACTTTCTTTGGTTTTTTAATGGCAAAATTTTGAACAATACGCATTGTTTGGCGAATTGTGGAGTAAAAACGATCTGCTGTATTACGGATTGGTGGCGAAAAAGAAAATAAATCAATGGACAAAGTAATGATAGTTTGCATTTTTTTCATAGAATAAGACTGCGATTTTTTGTAGGTTTTGTTATGATGAACGTATTTAGACGCAAAGATAAAATTTATTATTGTCTGTACGATGAATTTAATGGTGAAATGAGAGTTTCATTGATTGATGTTTACGACCTTGATAAGGTTCTTCTCTGCAAAAAGTCTTTTGAAAACATGTCTTTTTTGGTTGGAAGCGCGATGAAAATATGGATGGTTGGATTGCTGTTTGCGCATTGAGTGCTCTCACATCAGCGTTTTATCACTAGCAAAAGAGCTTATTGTTGATGATTCAATCCTTACCAATGCAGATCAATAAAAATCAGATAGATGCACGGATTATATTCGTACAGAATATGACTATTCACATGTGCAGCATAAATGTTTTATTGTTAGCTTTAGTATTATCTATTATTCGGGGTATTATTATTATTACTACTATTATTATTGTTAGCTTTAGTATTATCATTATTGCCATTATATGGTTATTGGAAGTATTATCGTTTCAGTAAATCCTTCACAGTATAATATTCGGAGCCAAAAAAGCCATGAGAAGCATTCTTTGTTTTCACGAATCCATCTTGACATTTAGCAAGAACCTGAGTGTATTCCTCGTCTCAATGCGTTCACAACCGTATATGACACACAGACACATACGACTGTTAATCACATGACCGTTAATTTAGAACAGGCTAATGCCAAAGACAATATTGATGATTCGGTGTATTTGATTTTTAATAAATCAGCGAGCAAACGTCACCGGCGACACTGACTTTAAATTACAGAAGAGCAGTATTGAATAGGGCAGCAAAATGTAAGGTGATACCTTTTTGGTGGACGATAGGAACTGCGGGGCAATTTCTCGGGCATTATTGCTTTACGAATACGACCCAAACCATCAGTGGCCATATTTGCAACGCCCAAAATTAGCGATTGATATGTTCCCTCATTCAGCGAATAACCCTGTGAATGCATTTATCAAATACTTCTCAAATTATGTTTGTTTCTGCTTTCCTTTTTCATTTCGTTGAAGTGAATCGCCACTAAAATGGCAATTGATTTGCAGTGACTTATTCATTCTCATTCATTTGCTCGCATTAGATCAATTGCTCAACTGTTTGAAGAGAATCTTTTTCGCTGGCAAGCCCAGAATATTTTATTCCTTATCAATATGCCATTCGTTTCCAAATGTTCAGCAAATAAATTCGTTTTCTATAACACTTTCTCAGTTGCTTAGCTCTGCAGTTGTTTGATTCTCGAATTCAGTATATGAAACGAGATTTTCAAATACGCGAAATCATTCAAATAGAAATTCCGAATACAAACTGAACGAAGAGTACCGCTGGTCCAGTGTTCAGCTGTGCAAACGTTTCAGCATGATTCAGTTGACCACGGAAATTACGCTTCAAAAAATTGAATCCCATATCACATGGGATGCTATCCCAGCCGCATGCGCCAACAATGTAGACCCCATGTTTTTTGGCTTCTTCATCGTATTTCATTTGCATTGACTCCAGGAACTAAACGAAGTAATGTTCACTTCTACAGAAATGTGGTTATGATATGAGATAAAGAGTAAATACCTTAAAAATGTGTAATCAAAATAGCTGGAATTCCCTCAGTGAATTGCTTCTTTTTTCAATTTAAATTTAAAGCATTCGATGTTCATTTTTACACGAGAAAACAATTCCTCTTCATCACAAATCAATTCGTTATCACGACATTCGAATTGTTTTCTGGGCAAGTTCCTAGGTGTAATACGGCGAAGATGAATTTTGGTTGTTTCAGTATTGACAAGAAAACTGAAAATATACCGCAGGTTCTCCTGATATGTCCACATGACTCGCACCATTCTCAACAGCTGCTTTCACGACAGCCTCACCATATAAACGATACTGAAATGGAATATCATCAAGTTTTGTTCTGTGCCAAGTTAAAAGATTTCCAAATAGAGTCAAAATAAGCGACAAGCAAATTCACCGGTCCCACTGTGTTGATAATTACTTTAGCAGATTTGGCCATTGCAACGAGTGACTCAACATTACCACTGTCTGCGATAATAATTGGTGTTTGACGGAGGTCTTTTCCTGAATTCAGAAATTCCGATTAGAGAATGAAAATTCACATTTAAAAATGAACTAAAATTTGAATTTCTAGCAAGCAGTCGAGGAGCCCTCCGATCAGAACCTTCAAATCTCCCCGCTGCTAAGGGATATATCCTTGTTGAGCTAAGATTCTTCACTGATCACTCTGCTAAGGAATAGCTGATTGTGCGTTCAATGCACATTTTCTGTAGGGAAACAGCAAGATGAATGATTCAGAAACCTGTTCGCTTGGAAACCTCGTCGAGAACCTTCTTCAGTTTAGCCTCGTTACGACCAGCCACCGCAAAATTTACCGTCTCATCGCATTTTGTCAGAAGTTCCACAACTCGACTACCCGTAAAACCGCTAGCACCGAAAACGACTAAATCGTAGCGATTCGAAGACATTCTACCCAAAGAATCTCCTAAAAGCACTGCTCTTATCATAATTATTATCAACTTTTTCAAAACTATCAAACGTCGACTATTCATAACTGTACACATCAAATGATGAACAATAAAGGAGTAATCACTCGCATAAAAAGTAATACAGCTGAACCAATTTCTCGTTTCATACAATACACTTTAAAACGTGGATGAGTTGAACTGCTTGATACAAATACATAT